AAAACTATTTTATTTTTAGTGTTTGCTACTTGTATTTGTTAGAGTTTTGCTCTGATTTTCTTATTATATTAGAGTTTTATTTTTTACTTCAAGAAAAGTCAAAGTATTATCATAAAATGCTTGAATATTTCCTGAAAGAAAAAAATATAATATTATTTCATATTTGTTTTACTCAAGAAAAAGTTTGAAACTCTATAAATTGAAGAACTCTCTTCTCATATCGACATAATAACATCCACGATCTGGTCATTTAGAAACTTTTGTTAATTGAGAGATTTTCTCTCTACTAGCTTCATGCTTCATATTAGTTTTTAAATAAGTAGGTCAATTGGTCATATCATTTAATAATATGTGTCAGTCTATCACTGAAATTGTAAGCTTCAGCATAACGTCCTATAATCACTTCGAACCAAACATTACTTTCTAGTGAATGTAGTCATTTTAAGTTGGTGTCCTTAGAGACCTCAAAAATTGGAATGAAACACAACCATTTGGTTGTCCATCTTGCTGGGTTCTGATAACAAAATCCATAATCCCTGCATCTTGCTATTAGGCCAAAATACAGCAAGAATATCTTCAACCAAACACAACACAAAATCTCCAATGTATAAACTGTAACGCGTTTCATGTCTTCATGATGTGCACGAAAAACATCAGAGAGACTACAAGGTACATCATCGACTTCAACTGTAGCTAGTTCCAACAGAAAGAAAAGAAAACGAGTTCTAATAGACAAATATGGATAGTTCATAGTTGTGAAGAAGCTTCATCTAGTCTACAATGAAGAAATTGATTCTCGACCATAGAAGCAAGCATATATCTACACGAAATGCTTGTGATAAGACCTGTATAAATTTTGAAGGGGGCTTTTCAAATAAGGGGGGGAAGGAATGTTATACATAAGGTAAGTAGCAACAGAGATTCATGCAAGCTCTACGTTTGGGCAATATCTCACCAGACGAGGCTGGAATAATCCACTGGAATGCAAAGTGCTTCATCAGCTAACTAAATCAGAGAATCTCAATCATATGCGAGCATTGCCACTTCCAAGTGTGAGTTCCAGATCATCGAATCCTACATCGTGAATCCTTTCACCTTCCCATGCCTTGACTGATACATTTTCAAAGTCGAAGTCTATGCTCTTACCCTTGTCTGTGATCATATCATTAGGACGAAGCGGCTGAGGCACAGGTTTTACAAGATTAAATGTTGGAGAAGGTGGAACATTTGACGCATACTTTTGAAAGTTGATCCACTGGCCTGAATCAATGGTAGATGAGTCAGATTCATCACACTCGGGTATAGTTGGAGGAGTAAAACGCTGAACCCTAGTTGGGCTTGCTGGGGCTGAAGCAGCAAAGAAAGGGATGTTTAAAGCAAACATTGATTCTTTGGCCAAAGTTTCTAAATTGAAAGTTTGCTTAGGATGCCTAGTTGGTGATGAAAGAGGTGGAGTTACAGGGGCACTGTTTGATATTCGTAATGGAGGAAGGGATGAAGGAACGACATTTTGGAGAAAAGAATATGGATGTGATGACATGTTGGCATCAGCACGAGATGGACTGGGGAAAGAAGAGGAAGTTGGACTTGGCTGATAAGATGGAATTGGGCTAGCAAAGTATGATGATGGGGGACTTGGATGCCGTGAAGAACTTGGCGTGATGTTTGTTGAAGTGCCTCCAATCTCCATCGGGGTTGGCTTGCATCCCTGAATCACATAATAGTTGAAACAAAGTCAGTATCAAAGAGATTATAATTTACCTAAAACAGATCCCAAGTTTTGCATATTGTTAAGTTAACCAAGCCACACACTTTAGTTTAGTAATATTTGAGTTTCAGAGAGATAATTTGCAGGATAACATAACAACACAGAAAATTGATCCAATGCTCAACCCAACGGGGAGATCATATTATTCTAGCAGCAAATGTCTTCACCTCAAATATTGCTTATTGGTTAAGTTCTAAATCCCAAACCACGCAATTAATATGGACAAACTCAGAAAACACTAACACGAATGTTCTCATGAAATTTGAGATTTCAGAGAGAAAAGCGCGGCAATTGAGCTAATAAAAGAAACCTCAACAAAAAACAAATTTGGAATCTCGGCAAGCATTCACTACAGAAAAAAAAAACACCTAAGGTCATGATGCTCAAACTTACCAATATCGTACCTATGCGGATCCTTCAAAAATGCACTAATCTTGGAGGATTCGACACACACTCATCGGGACGGAAAATGATTGAACTTTCCAGTTCAATTGTTGTTAATTTGGTAATGAAAAACAGGTCCTTTTATTTGGAGCTTTTGGGGTGAAGCTGGATACTATCGCCTTAGCCTATCTTGCTCGGTCTCTCCAATTTCATACCTGTGCAGATCCTACAACAATGCACTAATCTTGGAGGATCCGACACACACCCATCGGTATTTTGAAGAGTCGAAGCAACATAGCCTAAGGCGAAACTCGAAGGCATCCAACTCCACCCCCAGAAGCTCCAAACAAAGACACCCTTTTTGCACTACCAAATTAACAACAATTGAACTGGAAAGTTGAATCATTTCCCCCTAAAAACCACTTCCAGTTTCTAACAAAACTATACACTAGATCACTCTAATTTCTCAAAATAACCAACATACAAGAACAATAAACAGGCAAAACAAAGAAATTCAGCAAATCCAGAAGCTTAGCAACTTAAAAATTGATGCTCATATATGCTAAAATCCATACAATCTAGATCCAAAAAAAAGCAAACCTATTTGTCAAACCTGTAGATCTAAGCAAATCCAAGCAAAACCCAGTAATGGGGTTCACCAAAAACATAGAAATTAACCTAAGAATCAAGCAAATTGAAGAGGGAAAAAAATTGAAAAACCTTGCGATAAGTGGTACCATCAGGTTCAACGATCCAACCAGCTTCAGTACAAAGAGCTTTAAGAACTTCATTGTTATCACAGTGCTTCGGAAGATTATAGTTTCCTTGAGCTCTTAAACCAGTATAAATCTTAGCAGCTACAGCTCTCCTCCTCCTCTCTCTTCTCCTGTTATTCTCTCTTTCTCTCCATGATGGTTTCCTTCTCCCACCACCACCACCACCACCACTTTCCGGTAAACCAACTCCGGCACCTCCACTTCCACCAGCTCCGGCACCGGCCGAAGAAGATGCTGGTGATTCTCCAGCTTCCCACATCATGATTTTGTTGTTGTTGTTTCTCGCTTTCTCTCTCACACACGCGCTCTTTCTCTCTCTATCTGTGTGTATATATGAGAAGAAGAGAAAATGGGGTGGTCCCAGGTGGGGGTAGGGTGGCGTGGGGCGGTGGGGGGGGGTGTTGCAGACACACGTCTGAGACTATACTCACGAGAAAGACGTTCAACAAAGCAAAGAAGAATCTTTGTTGTTTCTCTCTATGGGTAGTGAGTGGTGTTTTCTTGTTTTTGTGTGTGTGTTGTGTACACCTATATAAAATATGATACCGTGAATGAGGTTGCTCCGACTTTTATCCTTCGAATGAATCAAAATGGGGTCCTATTTAATACGAATTTGAAATAGGTCGGATGTGGTATCGTGAATGAGGTTTATCCTTCTAATGAAATCTTACTTAGCGCGAATTGAATCGAATGAGCCTTACCTAATGTGAATTTGAAATAGTCAAGATATGAGATCGTGGATAGGGTAGCTCCATTTGCTATCCTTCTAAATGGTATTCTACCCCGCGCGAATCCAATGAGCTCCTATTTAATGCGAATCGAAAATAATATGGATATAGTATGGTGGATGGGGTTTGCTCTGATTGTTATTCTCCTAGTGGAATTCTATTCAACGCAAATTGAATGAGGTCCTATCTAACAAGAATCTGAAATAGTCGAATGGAGATTGAATGGGAAATTAAAAAAAAAGATATATTATATTGTGTGTGTGTATATAATTTGTAATAAACAAAGGGTGGTTTGGTAGCTGGTAAAGATATAACTTAATCATGTATCGATTTTTTGCCTAAGTTATAAAGGTTATTTATATATAAATTAATATGATATTCGATTGGTAAGTTTAAAACCTGCATGACTAATATAGTAAAGATTATAATGAATTTCGTATATTATTTTGTGGGTAAGAAGACAAAAAAATTAATACATACATAACTAAGACTATGTAATCTGAACAACTATCAAACAACCCTAAGAGTCGTGTTGTTGTTGGTTGGAAAGTGAATTAGTAATGTATCCAGAAAGGATTGCGTGATTAATAAAAAAAAGTGAATTATTTATATAAATTCGATATAACTAGTACCATATTTAGTAGAACTTAAATCATTATGTTTGAAATCCAGTAAATTTACAATTTTTACATAATTAATACATTTATAAGTTATCTCGTTATGTTAGATATAAAATTAAATAACTAAATCTATATAATTAACCTTAACATTATTAATACTTGCGTAACTCTAATCAACTAAATCATCCCTAATTTAACAAATTTTATTTTTAATCAAATTAAAAATCATACATATATAATAAAAAAATAGTACCACTATCTAAGTAAATTGTACAAAGCCAAGCACATGTTGTGGGATTATGGCCTTGTGGTTGGGGAACAATTCTTCTTTTATATTTCACTTTTTTTTTTCTGCTACAAAATGATTTGTTAGCAGAGTTGTCTCTTTAATTATTTATTCAGTCAACCAGCCAATAGAAATCTGCCACATAGGAAACAATTAATTATTTGTTGAGAAAATCAATGTTTTTCTTTTTCTTCTCCATTTACGTGACGAATATACTCTCACAAGTGGAGTTAGAAAAAAAATAGTATATACGTAAATCTTATCTTATATCGAAGTTAGGAAAAAATAGTGTGTACGTACATCTTACTTTATGTTCTGAGGTTTTCGATAAATCTTGACTCAAGTAAAGATACCACGGAGTAGTTAGAAAAATGAGAAACAAAGAGAAGTGAAGAAGGCAAAAGAGAACATGTTAAAAGGAAAACATGACAACACATATAAATAATACGATAATTGAAGCGCAAGATCGCGAAAACATAAGTTCAGATTGTACATAAATTCATCCAGGCAAAGGGTCTCTTAACAGCTTCAGTTTTAACACTTACATACAGAAAACGTTCTGCAGGTTTTAAGTTTTGCAAATATCTAATAACATTTTTGCACTCAAATCTTTTTCACATGTAAAAATGGTTCTTCCTGGTCCCAACTTCACAGACTTTCAGAGCCTTCAACTTCTGGTGTAAGCATCATCAACTAATCGATTCTGCATCTGAGACGTTTATATGCAGCGTTGGAAGAACGTTTCTCCTACATATCCTCCAGACATTGCCCTTCTGACATTGGACTCGAACAAGCTGGGGTTGTCACTCAACACAGCAGCTGCTTCATGATTGAGGGGATCCTCGTGATTGGGTTCCTGCAGAAGCGGAAGTTATAAACTAACAACTACTTAAGAGTAGCATAAAGTACATCAAACTAGAAGGAAGTTAAAGTACCGTGAACAAATGATACAAGCCATAGATTATTGTGTTGATGTTGAGCACAGGTTTCCAGTCTTCTCGAAGAATGTTGAGACACACATTACCTTCCAAGTCAATATTCGGGTGGTAAACCTGCAAAATCCGAGTTTCCAGAGCTATGGATAAAACAATTGGAATCTAAATTCATTCTTCAAGAAATTAAAAGAGAATCGAAAGAAAAAAAGCTATAAACCATTACCCACCTTTGTCTTGCACTTGACCTTTGGAGCCTCATGAGGATAAATAGAAGAAATGCTGAAAGAGAAGACAAAAGTTCCACCCCTGAATACGAACAAATAATACAATGTACGTTATCAGCACCGAGGAAAGCTAACTTGAAGTGCACCAATTTTCCATAAAAATACGAAAGCAGAAAGGTATATCCAAGTCGAAGTAAACTTTTTTCAGGAATATACTTCATTAAAGAGAGAATAATTTCAGCAGAACTACTTACACATAATATCCTTCATCAGGCCGAATGGTGACTTCAAAGTTCATGAGGTCATCTTTTCCGTTAGGGAATGATATGCTACACGTTTCAGGTAGATTTAGTTCACTGATATCTACAGGGAAATTAAAAAAACGTTAAGGCCATCTTCATTGGTGTGGAAAAAAATAGAAGACAAATAAATAGTCGGAGAAAAGAACCACCTGGAACAAAGAAATATAAATGAATCCCTTTTGTATAGATTCTTTATTATAAGAGGAAACATTCTATAATGAATCGGAGAATGAGTCAATGAAGGAAGGAACTGACACAATTATTCATGAACTTCCATCAGAAAGTTCATCAATCAAAAGAAAGACGAAGAGAACCCCTTCACTAGAAAGTGCTTTGCATCAAGCAACAATAATCTTCACTTTTAACTTTCAATATATGTGAGAGTCATATGCAGTTAGCTGTCACATATAGAGGTTCAAGCAACATCAATCTTCAACAGTGGATGGTCAAACATAACACAAATTTTCGCCTATATACGAGTAAAAGGAGTCAACAAAGAAATGACAATGTATACGTCAAATCTCTACAGCATACATGGGAGATTTGAGGAAACCCGTGAATGATGTAATATGAATTTGGGGGGCACTCAAAGTTTCACTGCCTTCTGGCCTCCATTTACACTTACCCTCCTCCAACAGTCCAACCTCCACTTCTTACCTTCACTGTACAAAAAACCACTTCACGAGGGATCCACTTCAACACACACGTTGGATTCTAGCAATACACAGCATGGGCCTGTAAACTTGTAGTTGTAGCAGGTGGACAGACTGTTTGTGAAATACCTGAGATCAACAACACCCACCCCCTCCAAGTAAAGTACTACATTTTCTAAAAACAATTACTTTTTTTTTATCAGGAAGCACTGCATTCTCTCTTGCCATTTCTACATTTACTACACACTCCACATGCTCCCATGATACCAAAGAGGAGAAAACTGGTTCATGACAACCACAACTTCTCATGTCTCAAATTATAATCAGAGTGCACTATTTCATCTGAAACTTTACATGGAAGATCTCTAAGGAAGGTAAACAAACAACTGAAATGAAACCCTAGCTAATCAAACCTAAATTGACCAATTTGGCATGCTAAAAGATATAACAAATTACCTTGCATGAAACGAAATGCTTAAAGTACTAATTTGATTAAAAAAGATTTTACAAAGAAATTGAAAAGGAAATACCTTTATGAAGACGCAGCTCTCCTGCACTTTGTTTCTTAATTGGTGGCTTTCCATTTGCATTTTCAGCAAGCTCTCTCTGTTTCTCCTTCACTTTAAACAACTTAATCATGGTTCCCTGCAAAAGCAAAATGCATACGTTGAACCACAATAAGAACTAAGAGATGAAATACATGAAAAATAAATCTTCTCCATCTTTTTCATTTATAAGTACAAATCAGAACAGTAAGTACGTAAAAATTCCAGCAGTTAACTAAGCCTCCGCCCCAAAGTATTTGGGTTCGAAAATATGAATCTATGTATCATTACATGCTACTCAAGTTCATTTAATATTGAATAATAAAGCAAATTAGAAGTTCTCTTGAACTAAAGGTTCTTCAAATCTCACATTTATTCTTATAGAGATATACAAGTCTCTAATCAAGATGAAAAGGATTCCTCACACACACTAATATATTATTCTCAGCTAGTTGGTATCACTTGGATGGATCTTTTACTTCTAACATATTTGGATGCGCTTGCAAAATCTGCAATCTAGAGCTTGTAAGTCATCTGAATCAACTAACCTCCTGTGCTAATATGAATAAAGAATATAAAAATCATTTCTTTTAAAATAGCCAATGTTTCTGCGTAATGTTCCAATAACTCTTCTGAGCTTTAAAGCAGAAAAATAGAACTTTAACTTTTTGTATTTCTTTTTCACTACCAGTTAAGCTTTGAAATTGGTGTTGGATTCTTATGGAAAATACTTGATCACGAAACCTGTCGAGAACTCTTGAAAGCTTGAGGCATGTCAAAGACACTGTCCCCTATGATTCAATAAGCTCTTCTAGTATAGAACTAGAAACACAGAAACTATAAAGATTTATTTAGAAGAAAACCCAGCACTCAAGAAATGGAGAAGAAGAGACTTTGTTTCTTAGTATTGATTCTTGATTTTTCACACTTAACAAAGTGGAAACACATAGAGAATATATAGGAGTAAAGAAGGGAAAAGATGCTAACATCTGACAACAAAATATAATGGGCAATGGCTCAGTTTTGGAAAGTGTAACCATTTGAATATTGTAAATGTCATTCAAGTCAATTGAAGGCTATTCAAGGACTTTGATAGATGGAATATGAAAGAGGATTAACTAGAGATATTATCATCTCATAATATCCATTCACTGGCCAAAAATCAATTAACATAAAACAATTCAAGTTGTATGTTATGGACAGAGGCGAATCTAGGATTTCTAGAACATGGTGCACTGCTAAAAGGAAGAACGAAAATTTGCATCAAGTAGGATTGATCCCCAGTCCACTAGATAAATAACTCAACAGTCAACCAAGTGCACCATTTAGCCTTCTCGTGACCTTAGAAAATGTATAGATAAAATACCTAGTTCTACGGAAAGAGCACGAGTTCATGTGCCCCAGTTTTAGGTTATAAATTCACTTCTGGTTATGGACATTAAGAGTAGATCAATAATGAATATTACCTTCTGGGATACCACTAATTTTTCCAACTGCGGGTACTATCACTGAATCTATTCTCGGCCAGAACTAAACACAAAGATCTTAACAGACATGCATAGAACGACCCAGCACCAAACTCTAGCTTGGGACAATTCTGCTAATCAAAAGTAAAATTCAGCATCAATCAAGCTACACCTTTTCTGTTAAAGACACAAGAAAATACTTGAGCTTTAACAGAGGCTAGAGCAATTAAACTAGGAACAACAATTGTAGCTTCAAACACTAATTCAGGCTCAAAAATAAGATCACAAATGGCTATGTTGCTCGGGCTCTCCAAAAATAATGCCGAAATTGTAGCTTCCCACGAAGGTGCCATTATTTTGGAAAGACACAAGAAAATACATGAGCTTTAACAAAACTAGAGCAATTAAACTAGGAAGCAACAATTGTAGCTTCAAACACTTATTCAGGCTCAAAAGTTAAGATCACAAACTGGCTATAGTGCTCAGGCTCTCCAAAAATAATGTCACAATTGTAGCTTCCCACAGGTGTGCCATCATTTCGGGAAGACACAAGAAAGGCTTGAGCTTTAACAAAACTAGAGCAATCAACGCCACACCCATATCACAATCCAGCAAAAATGCGCTGTTTTTGAGAATTCGAGGCGCCATTTTTGAAAAATCCGAACAACATATCAACAAGCAACCAACATCTAATAATGCTAAAAAAAATCATCTTTTTTTTAAGAGGTTCTCTATACTAGCACTTTCCACTACCCAAACTTAAAACGTTAACAGCAGCAGCAGCAGCAACAACAACAACAAATTCAGTCAATCCCAACTAAAAGCAAACAAGACAGACTGATATCAACTAAGATCAAACACGCCGCCAAGAAGCATAATTTCTGGACAAAATTCTTCAAAATCAACAAATTTATCAAAAGGGGTTTAAATTAAAGAGCAACCATCGATAATTCAGTCGATTTCACGATCTGGGTAAGAACAAAACTTGAAAACAAAAAAGAAAAACACGTAAAAGAACCCTTTTTATCGCTGAATCTGATAAAAGTAATAGCAAATAGCTCAAGAAAATACCAAAATTATGTGAACCTCCTCCTGCTGCTGCTGAAATGAGAATCTGCAAAAAGAAGATTGAAGAATAGTGATGGAGTCTCTATATTTATAGAGAAAAATAGTAGAAGAGAATCTGAGAAAAAAAAGGACACTAATGTATTATAATTTATTTTTTTACTTTAATAGAAAGGTATCCTCTATTGTCTCCCCCTCTTTCTCTTGTGTTTTTTTTTCTTTTTTCGGCTCGATGATCGATATCTTAATAAAAATATTTTGTAGTAGAGCTCGATATGAGTTTAGAACTTGAAAATGAGATTATCTCTTTTTTAGGTTTGAATGAATTTGAATTCACGTGGAAAAATTTGAAATATTTTTTAACAAAGATATTTTATAGTCAGAATTTAAATACGAAATCATTTCTCTTGATATTTGATTAAATCTAAAATGTTTTTAATAATGATATTTATACTCAGAAGTCAAATACGGGTTTATTTCTTTTGAGATTCGACTAAATTTGTATTCATGTCGAAAAAAAACCTAAAAATGTTAAGAAAACAAAGATATTTTCTACTTAGAGCTCAAGTACAAGATCATTTCTCTCGAGGTCTGATTATATTTGAGTTTACATTGAAAAATCTAAAATATTTCTTAACGAAAATATATCGTATTTAAACCTCGTATGATAATATTTGAATTTGCGTTGAAAATCTAAAATATTTTCTTATAGAGATATTCTTTCATACTTAGGATTCAAACACGAGATTTTCTTCGATTTTCTTTCTCCTTCTTTAATTGTTTAAGTAATTATTTTTATTCTTTTTTTCATCCTTATTTTGAGTACTAGTTCCTGGACACGTGCATTGCATGTGTTATCCAATGTCAACTGCTATCATAGAAAATAATCTTAAATTGCTTGCTTAACTTCTTAACTTTATTTTTCTATCACCACAATGACTGATTTCAAAACTAAAGATCTATTGAACTTTGATAAAAATGATAAAGAACAAATTTTAGAAATTAATTAATAAAAATAATAAAGCAATATTGTATTTCATCTATAAAAAAAGTAATTATAATAAACTATAAATAATGAACCAATTAAGTAAACTAACAAAATCAGTATACCGGAGAAATCAATTATCTAAGCTTTTGAAGCTTCCCTTTGAGTTTTTAAAAATAATTTTAGTGGCAATTTCAATTATTTTTTATTTCTTTCAAGAACAATAAATATATCTAGTATAGTAAAATTACATTAAATTTATCGATATTCATAATTATAATAAAATTCAAAAGAATGATCTGCTAAACCTTAGTAAGAAATGATATGGAGCAAAATTTTAGAAATTTATTGAATAAAAATAATTAAGCAAGATATCATTTAAGACACCCAACAAATACACTATACACTACTTTTTTAGTGATGATAACATATTGAATTGTACACATTGTTTTTCATCTATAAATAATATAATCACAAGAAATTATAAAGAATATATCAATTAATAAAAATTATAAAAATGTTTTCCAAAGAAACCACTCTTCTTTCTTTCATACCTCATTAATCTTGCTAATGTTGATGATGGAGATAGTAATCTTCATATATCATCCCATAAAGTTTGAATTTGGCAATTTTATGATTTCGATATATATTCATTATCTCTACATATTTCACCATCTTTTTATTTCATGCAAATATTGCTTTAAATAAAAGGGGAAAATGATGAAAAAGAAGTCGAAAAACAAAAATTAAAGAAATTATACTGAGCTGAAATATGTCCATAAGGAAAATGAAAATAATTTTCTTTGATGTTCTTTAGGATGTATTGATTATATGTATTAAATTAAATCAGCCTAAATTTAATTACTATAAAACTTCTGAAATTCGGAAGAAAAAAAATTATATTTTGCTGAAACAATAAATCAATCTTTTAACACTTCATTAATGCATTATGCATAGGACATGTACCGTTTCTTATTTATAGTATATATAAAAGTTATTTTCTTAATGGTTATTTATCAATTAGTAATGACTTTCCAACTTCTTCATTGTTTATCACTTAGAAATAAAGTTCCTTCTTCTTTTTCAACTAAAAATTCATGGTTATTGATAATTAATATAGATGAAATAGATACATGAACTCTCTAGTTTCACATTTAATTTTTTTTTATATGTTTTGTTATTTTTTTTATCTCTAGTTCCACATTTAAATAATTTGATATGTTATAACATTTTAATTTGGTGAAGGATATTTTCGTAATTCAACTTTGAACTCAAAATCTTTCCAATTATAATAATATATGATTATTAATAGGAGTATTATTTCCAAATGATTGTGAAAAAGTCATATAGTTTAAACATAAATCATGACCAATTTAGATCAAAATGATATTGATTGTTTTCTTAAAGAGAATGATGCCTCATTGCCTTGATTGGAATTATTGTCATATATATATATATATATATATATGAGAAAGAATGATTAAATAATACTTGAATTGATTCATGCGGAGCGCCACTCTCGAACGGATCTTATAATGCGCAATATTTTTTGCGCGAATATTAATTAATTTTTTAAAATATTTGTAGTCAAATTTTATAGGTGAATAAAAGGCTATTTATATTAGTTTTAACAAAGTAGTTAAGTGATGAAAAATACTTTAAAAGTGTTAAAGTTTAATTTATAAATAGTTGTTCATGTATTTAAATATAAACTTTAAATTGATAACAAGAGATTAAAACCTTAATATAAAAGAGGGGCATTAAAAATACTTGTTCTTTTTTTTAAAAAAAACTAAGAGATAATTTATTATTTTGTACTATTTTATCCCTATGATTAAATACTATTTTATGTATATGTCTTATAGGTTGATTTAATACTTGTTTCTATTACTCTAGTTTCCTTTCATGATTATTGGTGTTCTTTACCTATCATATTTACAGAGACTAATTCAAGATTTTAAATTAATAAGCAGAGACTAATTTAAGATTTTAAATTAATAGACATAAAATAACTTTGTATCATTCAATATTTTTTTGTGACGATGACTGAATTTGACATGAATATTCATTTTTGGGGGGGATTTTCAACTATTGATATACATACATAGTTCGAGCAAAAATAGCATGCTTCAATGTAAAATATCTCCTTTGAAAATAATTAGAAGTATCAATTGAGTGATTTTCTAGTGTATGATGTTGTATTAGTTGAGTTGTGGAATTGTGACATCACTCCATTTCGAGACACACATAGTAGATTAAACGACTCATTTCTTTCTTATGTTTGATGATCTTTCGAAAACATCATCTCTATCTCCATGAGGTAGGGGTAAGATCTGTGTTGCGTATATCCTATCCTTCCCAAACCCTACTTGTGAAAATACACCGAGTATATTGTTGTCGTGTTGCTGTTTTCATTCTCTTGATGCCCCTTTGAATGGGAACACAAGAATAATAACAATTCTTGATAATAGAATGACACATTTACATAGTCTAGTCAAGAATTATTGTCATATCTACATTGATTTCTTTAATAAAAATCCCACTTGACTTTGTAGTCTTCTGATAGGATGACACATTCCTTAAAACAAATTTCTGGCTCAAATAAAGTCTGAATGAGACATAATATATACAAAATTTAATAATGTTTAACGCGTTTATACATATAATTATACATAATCCAACAAAATATATTCACAAGACCAATTCCTCTATGTTCATATACTTAATCAAGAAAAAAGAACAGCTATGAATTGGCTTTTGAATATTCTCTGCATACTGAACTTTCTAATTTCATGTACTAAAGCTCAACAAGAATACTCAGGTAATTCAGTATTGAATTGTGAAAACGAAATCGGAACAAATTACTCTTGCAATGGAAGAAATTCCACTTGTCAAGCATTTCTCATATTCAAGGCTAGGGATCCTTATAATTCAGTACCTGGAATTGCTGCTCTCATGTCTTCAAACATGTCTGAGATTGCACGTATCAACAACGTCACGAGGCTTACAGTGTTCGCACCAGAAAAGGAGGTTATAATTCCAGTGGACTGCTCTTGTTCAGGTTTGTATTATCAAGCCAAAACCATGTACTATATATCAGCTCTTATTGAAACATACTTTGTGATAGCAAATAATACTTATCAAGGATTATCAACCTGTAATGCATTAGTATGTCAAAATGAATACGATGAGTTTAGTTTGAGACCTGGTCTTGAGTTGCAAGTTCCTCTCAGGTGTGCCTGTCCAACAGCAAAACAAGCTGCAAAAGGCTCAAAGTATTTGATGACTTATTCAATAAACGTTGGCGATGACATCCTTACAGTCGGCAAAAGATTTAAAGTTAATGGAAGGAACATAATCGAAGCAAATGGATTCTTGGATGAAAATTCTGTTTTGTATCCTTTTACAACCATTCTAATTCCCCTGCCTTCTGAACCATCAAATTTAGATACCGGAAATGAGAATTATAGAAAACCTATTAGGTCGTTTTCACCTCCATCTGCAGCTAATGCTTCAAAGGGAAAATCAAAGAGAAATCTTTACATAGGTAGTGGAGTTGCAACAGGCTTTGTGGTTTCTTGGGTCATCCTTCTTGCTTTGTTTAAGAAAAGAGATAGCAAATTTCCGAGGAGGTCTTCAAGTCATGAAGATATCCTCGTGGAGATCGCGAACATAGATCATGTCCCTAAGGTTTTTAAGTTTAAAGAATTGAAGCATGCTACGCAAAACTTTGACTCCAAGAACCGGATAAAGGGATCTGTATACTGGGGAGGGTTTAAAGGGGAAACCTTAGCAGTCAAAATGGCGATCATGGATGTATCTAGAGAAGTGAACATACTACATAAGATCAATCACTTCAATCTAATAAAGCTTTGTGGCTATTGTGAACATAAAGGTTGCTTCTTTCTTGTCTTTGAATACATGCAAAATGGCTCTCTCAGGGAATGGCTGATCAGAACCAAGTCTCAAGATACCATAAGCTGGAAAAAAAGGATTCAGATTGTGTTGGATGTAGCTAATGGACTTCATTATCTTCACAGCTTTACCAAACCAGGCTACATCCACAAGAACATCAACAGTAGAAACATTCTCCTCGACAACAACATACGAGCAAAGATTACAAACTTCAGTGTTGCTAAAGAAACGGATACATCAGGCATGAGTTGGGAGCTTGTGGGGACAACAGGTTACATGGCTCCTGAGTACGCTGAGAGAGGGACAGTGACTTCAAAGATGGACATTTATGTCTTTGGAGTTGTCCTGTTGGAATTAGTCACCGGCAAAGATGCTGTAATTGTAGAGGAAAGTGGAGAAATTCTGCTTTCTGCTGCAGTAGCTGCAATAATGGAAGGAGAAAATGCAGAAATTGAACTGGATGGATTCATCAAAGCAGATATGAGGGAAGATAGTGATTTGGAAATAGCAATTTCGGTAGCCAACCTAAGCTTAAGATGCTTGACTCGAGAACCAACAAATCGTCCAAGCATGGAAGAGACAGTATCATGTTTACTGAAGATTCAAGTAAATGTACATAAGGCAGAATAAACCAGTTAGAATTAAGAATATGGGCATTTTTTTTGCATTTCTTCTAGGGCCTAGACTAAGGCCTCATTTGTATTTTTTAAGATTCAGACGTCTAAATTCCGAATACACACCTGTATATTAAGTTCTATTGACTGTTGATGAGCCCTCGACCACCATGTGATACCTATTGAACTACTGACGCTGATCTTGATTATGCTCTTCAGAGCATCAACTTTATCATCGATGCCATGACGTTCCTCGATGCCTCATTCAGTGTGTACATCAACATTTGCTCCCCTTCCAATACATTGTTCAAAAATGTATTAAAAGTACATTAATACATGTGTGATACAAAGCTTAAACATTGACATAATGCAATCAGGATAATCAAAAGAAAACGGCAAAAATAGAAAACTGAAAAGGTACCTTAGAAGCCAGATTCTCAGTCTGCCCCTAGACAACACTTAATTTCATCTAATACTTTCTCAAATTATACAGTCATAGAATTGATAAAATAATAATAGACCTAAACAAAAGCTCACAAGAAACAGGTTAACAATCGCTTTGTTTACACTTTTGACAAACATCCAAGCTATAATATTTAAATATGGTGTGTACCATTTTCTTGAACGACACAAATTCATTCTGACCTAAATAACCGCGCAAACAAATGCTTAATGATACATCATCTAGTCTTATATTTTTGGAATGATCTTTTTCTGATATTCATCAAATGATAAAAAATATCCAAAACAACTTAAACAACAACAAATCACATGTAGATTTCTAAAGAAGTTAACACATACTATACAAAACAGTTTTCTGTTTCATTTTATGTTTATGAATTAATGTATCAGAATCTTACACGGAGAAAAACATTGGCCCCAACTCTGCTAACCAGTGAGGCTCCACAGCCGTCACACACTGCATGTACTCCTTTGTCGTCAAGATTGCCTCATGATAAACCACGTAATCAGGAGTGTAACCCAATCCATAGAGAGCACTTGTGGGATGCAGGTTACAGGGCATTCTATTCCTGCAATTAACATATTCCCCAATCCCCTTCAGCATAGCTGCATTATGGAAGTATGTGGAACAGATTGTTTTCCGCACAACATCCCAATCAGGACCACAGTATGTGAGTGGAATTTTGAGAGTCTTGAGGATGTCCAACAATTGGAATCTTATCTCCCTAGCCTTGTACAGACCTTTGACCTGTAAAAAATGGTCATTACACCAGTCTCCTCTGTATTCATTAGCTTTCCATTGCTGGTAAACATTAAGCAATGTAAGGTGATCAGATTCTGGCACAAAAAACTTTTCCCTAGCAGCATCACTTTCCGCTTCCCTATCCTTAGGTCGAAAGAAAACTGAAGGCACTGAAAGCATAGAAACAATTGTCAGAACCTCATTTAAGCATTCTAGTTGTTCCCCCATCAGAGCAATTTGGCAAGGGCAGGGTCCAACGGGAACTTCACCATTTTTCGTCCAAGGTCCGTTAAATCACCAACATCATTCAGTGCACCTAGTAACCACAACTGATACATGGAGTTAAGGATGTTATCTTGAGGAGGTGGATCCATAAAATCAAAATCCAACAAGTTCTGAATTTTGAGAGACTTGAGCAGCAAAACCACATTCCCAAGATTTGTCCGTTGAATCTCTGGCACGGGGCTTTGCAGCATTTCATTCTCATAAGCATTCTCTGTATAAAGTCGGTAACAAGTCCCTGGGCCAGTTCTACCAGCTCGACCAGCTCGTTGATCTGCAGAAGCTCGACTAATGGGGAACACTTGCAGAGCATCCATACCCATACAGGGATTGTACACCTTCATTTTACCATACCCTGTATCAATGACATAGAAAATTCCATCAATGGTCAAGGACGTCTCAGCAATATTAGTAGCAACAATGCATTTGCGAGCCCCATCTTCAGCTTTATGGAAAATTTTTGCTTGCAGATCAGCAGGCAGTTGAGAGTATATAGGAAGAATTAACAGCTTGGGTACTGGTTGCTCTGTTGATGAGATAAGTTGTTCCATCCGCTCTGAAAGTGCATAACAGGTTGCTTCAATCTCATCCTGACCAGTTAAGAAGATGAGTATATCACCAGGTGCACCAGCAATATGGATGGTCATGGCTTGCTTAACTGCAGCTTCAACATAGTCTTCACACGGGGTTTTACTATGACATATTTGAACTCGAAAAGTCCTTCCAGGTATGTTAAATATTGGTACACCCCCAAAGAAGTTCGAGAACTTCTCGCCATTGAGAGTGGCAGAAGTGACAATAAGCTTAAAATCACGCCGCCTAGCTACAACTTTCTTCAGAATGCCAAAAAGGACATCAGTGTCAAGTGATCTCTCATGGGCTTCATCCATTAAAATCATACTATATTTCTCAAGATCAGGATCCTTAAGAGTTTCCCTTAAGAGCACACCATCGGTCATGTACTTAATAACAGTACTTGGCCCAGTGGCATCTTCGAAACGAATAGCATATCCAACTTTATCCCCGAGCTCACTTTCCATTTCCTCACTAACTCTTTTCGCAACACTCATCGCTGCCACACGTCTAGGTTGGGTGCAACCTATGATCCCATTAACTGTATAACCATATTCATACAAGTACTGAGTTAGCTGTGTTGTTTTGCCAGAACCAGTTTCTCCTATAATAACCACCACCTGATTTTCACGAACCACTTGCAATAACTCATCTCGCACAGAGAATATTGGCAAATTCTGCCGTTGCTGTGAAATTGTTTTCGATTTTGTAAAATCACCGACAGATAAATGCTGCGAGAATCTGGCTTTTCCCTTAAAATCAACCTCACCATCCTCACCCACTACAACAGTATCTGCATCAGTCTCATCAACACTCTTCTCCACACCTAGAATATCTCCGAGTTTCGACCCAGCTAGCTCCCAAAATCTTTGCCTAGACTTATCCCTCTTCTGTTTTTCGTGTATTTCCCTAACAAGAGCTGACCCTTTTCGTGAAATTACTGCCATATCAGACATTGCATCCTTAATTGGCAATATCAGCTCAGCTTGGTCAGTGAAAACTCTCCCATCCAAAAAAGGAGGCAGCTTTACATCACAAACATGAAGAATCACCTTCCGTTCCTCTTCATCATCATCAAATCCCGTCTCCACCTTGTTACCTCTAACAGCTCCAGATCTCAAAAGCTGATGATCCTCCCAGTTTTTACCGACAATTTTTTTTCTAGTTCGTGAATAATCAATTCTACTACCTATTTCAGATGTAAAATTACTTTTTTTAGCACTAAAATTGTGATTTTTTGCAGGATACTTAGAAGTTGAAGAACTTACCGATGCCCTAATTGGAACTGGAGAAGGAGCCACAATGTCCCATGGAGAAGAAGCAGCAGCAGCATATGAATGTTCTTCGCTACTGGTTCTCTTTCTCCTTCTCGATTCCATGGATTTGCTTCTTCTATCCTTCTCCGCCATTGATGTTTGAATTTGAATTTGGTGTAGTTTTCAAATGAAATACAAACTCGTCTATTTATAATCCAATAAATCGAGCACTCAAATTATCATGTATCGTATATGTTTAATTTTATACAAATTTAAGAGTAAAATTATCAAACGGGCCATTAAGGGACAAGGGCAAGGCATGCGGGTTCATGCGTTCTTTGATTCGATTCATTAATTTGATTATTTTTTTATTTAAGGTCCGTACTCTATGGATTCCGATCATATTATAAGAACTCATGAAATCTATACAAATTGTTACGTAAAATATTGAATAAAATGTTTAGTTATTTAATTTTATGTGCGTTTGAATCAAGTACTCCCTTCGTCCATAATTAATTGTCATGATTTTCTTTTTTAGAGTCAAACTATAAGAATTTTGATCAACATTTTACGATATATATTTTCATCATATTACTATGCAAAAAATTGCAATTTATAGTACTTTTTCGTATAGTTTTTATATATCTACTTTTTAAAAAAAATATCAAATTAACATAATTTAATCTAACTTTAAAAATTGATCAAATTAACTTTTAAAAAATATAATTTGACAAGTATAATATGACAAATAAAAATTAACAGAGAAAATATATATTTAATATTTAAGTTGAAAATCATAAATATCAAGTAAGGTAGAATTTTAAATATATTTATAAATTAGTTCTAAATTTGGCAAGAAACTTCCATCAAATATTAAATCCTCGGTGAGCAAGGATGAATTTTATACACATTATTTTCATGTGCAAATACAATAGGCACATTGCTCACATGACTAGTCCAAATGATATTTGACCAAACATTATTCTCTCTCCTTGTCCAACAAGTAAAATTATTTGTGTTTTTTAGTTCGAATTTAAAAGTTGAATGTAATAATTAAATAATTTATATCTTTTGAATTTGATTTTAAATTTTTATAATTAATTTAATTTAGATTTTTAAAAAATAATATAATAAATTATACGTACATAATATATTAACTTTTATTGAATAAATTTAAATATTTATATTTTTCAACAAAATAAATTTGACTTATAATTATACTATCAGTTCTCATGTAAAGTACATTCAATTTGTATTTAAGTAAATTTGATTTAACTTATTTACAAATTTATTATAGATTCTAGTTTATTTATAGCGTTTTAAAATAAATTTTGCTTATGATGTAATTCATAAAGTAAAACAACTTTTTTCTTCTAGAGAATTATAAAAATTGCTTTTTTGTGCAACAAAAATAAAATTTCAAGATTATTTAATTTTTTAGTATTTTAATTTACACAATATGACTATATACTTAGAGCCTGTTTGACATAAGGCCCAACTTAGTGTGGAGATGATGGAGTAAGGCATAAGGCCCAATACTAGTCTTTACTCATCTACGGACAGATTTGCTATCTCGTGTAGTTATTCATAAATTGTAATTTTAAAAATACAAATTCACAAAAAAAGAAGTAAATAATCTTAAATTTGGTGATCCTAAATACTTATTGAAGTGAATGACACATAATTAATCTTTAAATTTGTCTTTTAAATAATAATATTACATAACATGAAACTTGGCTCTAAGGTATATATTGTTAAAAATTGAGATATATGATACCATACTAAAAATATTTGACCTAATTTAGCCTAACAATATAATACACCAAATGAAACTTGATTAAACAATTTAATTTCTCATACAATATTTAATATTATTTTATATTTGTATTGAAATTCTACTAATTCAAGTTCGTGCATTACATATTTTTTTAAAGCTCGAACTTAAAATTCGAAACTAGTCTAATTTAAATTTGTGCATTGCAACACCTATCTATAAGAACTCACTCTCAATCTAAACTTTTTCCAACGCTCAAAATTAGAACTTGTCCAATTCGAATTCACACGTTACAAACTTCTTTTTAATAGGTGCGTACGTCCATCATAATTTTCTCTCAAGGCTCAAACTCGAAATTCGATTAACCAAAATTCACATATTATAGATTTTTGCTAAAGCAATGCCTCCATCATAACTTTCTTCAAAGCTAAAACTCAAAATTTGATTAATCTAATTTCACACGTTATATACTTATTTTAAATATCGATATCTCAATTATAATTTTTTTTAAAGCTTAAATTCGAAACGTTAAATCTCGACCGTCTTATGAGAGTCCAAAAAGAGGGTGAGACTATTATTGACAAAGGTGTATAGGAGTAAGCACAGTATAGTGAACCAATATTTTGACAGAATTTCACTCCGATCAAAACTCTCCAAAAAAAAATCCAAAAATCTTCCTTCCCCACGAAGGAATTTCAAGAATCGACAAACCTAGGGATCATCAAAGCGTAAAATTGCTAACTTTTTTGGGGTTTTTCGATTTTTCTCTGTGGGGGGTTTTAGTGTATGTGAAAAATTATGGAGGATTATAGCTATGGGAGCAGCGATGATGATGAATGGGACAATCAACAGTGCAATAATGACGATGAAGACGATGATGATGGTGAATTTCTTGATGGGTTTACGGAAATTGAACAAGAGAGAAACGGAATCTCTGGAAAGGGTCCTTCATGCAAGGTAGTATGATAAAAGTAAAATTTTTACGGGTTTAAACGAATTCAGTAAGCTTTATATTTCGAAACCGATAAAGGATTTTGAGAAATTAACCTATAAAGTTTAAATCTTCGATACACCCCTTGTAACCCTTTTCATGCAAATGCTTAATTTTATTGTTTTCGAAAAAAAAGGTGTCTCTTTTGAGACTTGATTAGGTTTTCCTTCATATTTTGTTCTGGTTTTGGTTGTAGTTCTTTCATACACAAAATATATGCTTCGTATCAGAAATGTCAGTTTCTAATACATTAGAACTCTAGAATGACTGTTTAATACTGTTTCAGTTGAAAGATTGGTACTAGTAGATTTTATGCATGTTCAGTGATTAAATATTGGGTAAGACACTGGATGGTGTAGTGATTTGTCTCGCTATCCGTTCAGACTAGGAGTCGTAGTATTGCTAATGTAGTTTCTTGCCTTCGATTTCTGTTGTTTCTCGTAAGTATATTTTGTTATACTTTCACTTCCGTTGTTTGTTTTGGACTGTTTTTTCTTGAGCTGAGGGTCTGCAGGAAGCAGCCTCTCTACCTCTTAAGGTAAAGGTAAGGGCGGCGTACAAGTACCCTCCCTAGACCTCACTTTACGGGACTATGATGGGTATGTTGTTGTATACTGGATGGTGTTTTCTTTAACAAAAAAAGAGTTTTAATGATTTTAAATATTTTGATATTATGCTAGAAATTCTTTAAATGAGATTAGCTTCTGGCTAGCAGCGTAACTTTTTGAGTTTCTGCCACATACAATCATTTTCTAAGTCCTGTGAAGCAATGAATACCCTGTGCCAAGTGAGTGCATGAGGCACAGTACATGATATATAATTACTTATCAGGGAAAGTATAGGAAGGAAAAAATCACCCTGAATTGTGAAGTTGTCTGCTATTTTCATTTTTATGATTTATGAATTTCTTCAGTTCTTCATGCCTACTGTTGGGTTTTGTAGGTAATCAGGAAAGAGACTCTTTTAGCTGCACAGGTGAGCAACTTTTCCCAAAATTTTGACTTTTCCATATGGATATATGTTAACTGACATGAGAAATAATGGTATTTAACTTGCAGAAAGAAGACTTGCAAAGAGTGATGGACTTGCTATCTCTGAAGGAACATCATGCTCGAAGCTTGCTTATTCATTACCGATGGGAAGTTGACAAGGTCTTTGCGGTTCTTGTTGAGAGAGGGACAGAAATGTTATATGCTGAAGCGGGTGTGACACTGGAAGGGAAAGAGGAACATACTTCCACTCTGTCGACATCTGAAGTGACGTGTCAAATTTGCTTCGAAGATGCCCCTGTTGAGAAGACCACTGTAATGGACTGCAACCATATATTTTGCAATGAATGTGAGCATCTCCCATCCCTTCCCTGAGCCTCTATCTCTGTACGAGTAAAATGTTTCTCTTATCTCTTATCCCCATTTAATCATTATACTAGTGACATGTCACTTTTGACACATGATCTGGAGTTTGTTGTCCCAACAGTTGAAGTCTCTGTTTGTATGCCTCACATAAGTGGGAAAGCTGTTGGGATCCTTTTCGTAACTACCTAACTTCGAAATACTGATGATTTCACTACATCTTTAATGGCATCAATAGCATTTAGAATCTTTTTCTGTAGCAAACCTATGTCTTTGTTAATTTTCTTTAATGTCAAAGTGATTAGTGCAGCTTGAAAAGTTGATGAGCTAGATTCACTTTTTGTATTTATTGTTGGTGCTTTCTCTTTTCTGGTCACTCGAACAAACGATGGTGTAGGCTTAAGGTTGCCAATAATTGTTCTATGCAGGTTGGACAACTCATTTCATTGTAAAAATAAATGAGGGTCAGAGTAAACAAGTAACTTGCATGGCCCAAAAGTGCAATGTGATCTGTGATGAAGGAAAGATTAGGGATCTCGTCACTGCAAGAGATCCTGCTTTAGCAGAGAAATTTGATCGTTTTCTGTTAGAGTCATATATTGATGATAACAAGAGGGTTAAATGGTGCCCTAGTGTTCCTCATTGTGGAAATGCAATTCGTATTGAGGATGATGATTACTGCTGTGAAGTTGAATGTGCATGTGGTGTACAGTTCTGTTTTAATTGTTTATCAGAAGCGCACTCACCTTGTTCATGTCTGATGTGGAAACTTTGGATGAAGAAGTGCAAGAACGATGGGAAGACAGTAACGTGGATAAGTGAAAATGCCAAACATTGCCCAAACTGTCACAATGCCGTGGAGAAGAATGGGGGATGCAACCTTGTAAGATGTAGATGTGGACAGCCGTTTTGGTGAGACTTTATCCATGTCTGCAGTCTTTATTTTTTTTCAAATTTTCTAATTTATATGTTCTATTCTTATTCCATTTATTTGCTATACCATTTTCATTTTATATATATTTTTCTATTGAAGTCTTTTAACAATATATTCTGTTCCTTCTCTTTTCTTTGGTCTCCCGGGAGTTTTCTTGGGGTGGGGGTGGGGGGTGATTAGTCTTGTGATGCATGAATTGCATATGATGCAAACAAGGACTTCCAAGGAGTAGAGATTGATGACTTTTAAAGCAGGAAACTGTAAAATAAAAGAAAGAGGGGGAAAGGAGAGCAAATGCTAAGAGAGTTGAACAGATAAAACGGATAATCCGTCCTTATTCCAAGAATGAAAACTTGACCAAGAATTAGAAGGACAAAGAGAAGCAGCAATATTTGTGGTTGTAGTATAAGCGGGCAAAGGAAAAGGAAGCATAACCTCAGTTGTTAAGAGCGGGAAGAGAAAGAGAAAAAGAGCATTTTCAAGGTTATAGAAGTTAAGATCCTAAGGTTATCCATCCCTTGCTAGAGATGTAGCTAGTTATTCTTTGAGTGTAGGGTAACAGTTAAATACACATTTCTCCTTTTTCTTACCTACAAGCTCAAAGTATGGCATAGTAGTTTCTCCTTTTTTTTCCTTGCACGTATTGGTTAATTTATTGAAAACATGTTGGCCAAGCCAAATTATCCCAGTACTTTCTCTTTCTCCATCACTTATATTTGTGTATGCAATTTTATTTTATACTTTGTAGTTGGTTGTGCGGTGGAGCTACTGGCTTAGACCACACATGGAGTAGCATTCGAGGTCACACTTGTGGCATTTATAAGGAAGGGGAAGAGGATAAGTCGACGACTGTCAGAAATGATCTCTTGCGCTATACTCATTATTATGAGCGCTATATGGTTCATCGTGATTCGTTGGAGGCTGAAGCAAACATGAAGCAAAAACTAAAGTTTGAAGTGTTGAAACTCGAAGCAAGGGAATTGCTATCAAAGGACTTCAGCTGGGTAGAAAATGGATGTAATAGACTCCTTGAATTGAGGCGAATTCTCTCCTGTTCCTATCCAGTTTCATTTTACGTTTTTGATCAGACGCTGTTCAAGGATGAAATGACACAAAAAGATAGGGAAATAAAGAAGAACCTTTTTGAAAACCTGCAGCAGCAACTTGAAATAAACGTTGAGAGACTTTCGATGTTCTTGGAAGAACCATTTGCTAAATATCCTGAAGATAAACTTTTGGAGACTAGAACGAAGATCATCACTCTCTCCGTACTAACAGACAACCTCTGCAAAGAGTTGTAAGTGTGCATCACATCTAATAAACTAGCTATGCATTATTTATATTTGCGTTAGGTTCTTCAAGTACATTGATATGTTAAAGAAGTCATCTACAGAAGGTCCTTTATATAACAATTCAGTTTCAAGGGAAACGAAACTCATGCTTTTCTAAACGAGTATCAACCATAATGCCCTTTGGTTAGAATCACAAGAAAGGCAAAAACAGTGATCTTTACTTGTGTTCTGTAGAAACTGACTGATCTGGATATTGCTAATGTGTCTACCAAGTGAGGCTTCATTCCTGGATTTTTTGTTTTTGCAGGTACGATTGCATTGACAACGATTTACTGCTTCCTCTACAGCAGGCGAATCATACCATAGCTCATTATAGATCCGAGGGAGTGGCGAAAGCATCAGAACTTCCTAATTGACATTCCACCAACACTAGGCATGTGAGCACTCTCAATCAGAGGCAAGAAAAGATGCACATTCCTTTTCTCATGAGCTGATCTACAATTTTATGCTAGAGGGTTTGATTACTACAGCATCTAATATTCTTTTGCTACACTTGATATGAATTTAGTCTAGATTCTTAACTACATATAGTTTGAGTTGAAGACAATGTATGAACATTGGTTTTCGTTTGGCCATATCATATCATATATTATTATAAGTGGGAAGATTCAAACTGCAAAGTTGAATTATCATTTTGTCCCTCTACAGTTAATAAATGAGTACATTGATATTGCTTTTAATCGTAATCATAAATTTCATAGTGGAAGAATTTGATATATGCAAAGTCATTCATCACTTTAATGTAGAAATCATATAGCTTTTAATTTTAGCTTTTAATTGTGATCATAAATCTCATAATGAAAGAGTTTGAAAAGTTATGATATGAAAAGTCATTCATCACTTTAAGGTAGAAATCAATTTAAAGGGTCATTTCTTAATACTATTTAACTTACGGAAGTTCACAATCAGAAATTGAATTACAGGAATTGCACAATTCAACATGACAAGATAAAGAGAGTTAGAAGTTGCAAGTGAAAATAATCGAAAAAATGTTGAAAATTGGTAATCAAGAAGAAAAATAGCAACAGAAAAAACGAGTGTAAATTTAATATTATCAAACAATGAACAATTTTATGTTGATATGCTGAGACGTTATCTCTAACAATAATAATATTTTTCTATGAGGACTTTCTTTGCAACATCCTCAACTTTTCGTTCTTGCTTTCTTTATCCATTATAGAAATTTTCTTTCTTGAAGCATTTAGAAGTATATGGGTGTTGAACTTGAAGCATAAATATCAATTTAAGGCATATGTAGAAATTCAACATGAAGAGTTCGCACAACTTACGTCATCACCTTGATACGATAAGCTCTTGGCTTATATTCCTTCTGTTTCAATATATGTGATGTAGTTTAATTAGATACGAAATTTTAAAAATATGAAAAAATTAGTGAAAACAAAACATATAGATGATACTCTTTAATGAAAAATTGAATATAAAACACAACACCACAAAATAACAAATAAATATATAGATTGGATTTCACAAACTAAAGCATATAGGTTGCTATGAAAGAATATAAATAGCCATTAATATTAACAAAAGAAAACTAAATTACTCTTATTAAATATGTCTTTTTATGCCATAGAAAAATATTTTTATAGTAAATGTTTGTTTATAGATTTAATTTGCATATTAACACATTTATATCGCAAGTAGTTAAATAATGTCAATTAACATTACCAAGTACCAACAATAAAAGAAAAAAAAAGAAAATATTGGATAATTAATTACCTATAAAAAGATTGTACACTATAATTTTTTTTTTATGATATAACAAAATAATTTCTTATTAATTGATCAAATTAGACAATTTTTTTTGCAATTAGGTGGATTGGACTATACTCATCTTGATCCAAGTCCATTTTTCCTTTTTGATATATCGCTTTATAATTTATATTCAATAATATCTTTAATCTATCTAAATTTAACTAAATCAATTTTCCAAAAAAATAAGATATTATTTTAGTTCCAAATTTCTCCGTCCTAATAGTAATAAACGCTTCAAAATGTTAGATATTATATAAAAAAAATAATATATTATCCAATACTCATAATTTAAATAAACAATTAAATTAAAGACAAATAACGGAAATCACATACATTTGAGGCAAAATTATCATTTGTTATTTATAAGTTTATAATATTACAGAAATTTCGTAAATTGATACAATAATAAAAGCTCTGATGCGTGATATATTAATTATTAAGTATGGTACAACAATATGATGTACATTTTATACCTGATACAATAATATAATGCGCGAGATATATTAATCGAATGCACAAAAATGAGATATTTTGTAGATTTATAAAACTAATAGGGATAATGGTAATAAGATAATTAAATGTGAGATTTCTATCATTTTCTAAATAAAATGCCTACAAACTAACTCGTACACTATAATATTAAAAAAAAATTCGTTTAAATTTGACTCAACCCGACTTTTTTTTTTTCCAATAAAATTAAAAGAAGTTGAATAAGAAAAGGTTTGGACTATTATATTATTACATTTTTTCCTTAGAAAAAGGGAGTCTACAACTTTTCAAAGCTGTAAAACTGTTGTTACAAGTAAAATAGGAAATCTGAAATTGAGCTTCAGAGAAGAGCAAAAATGGCGAAATCGAGTGCGGATGATGAGGAGTTGAGGAGAGCTTGTGAAGCAGCGTTAGAAAGTACTAAGCAGAAGATCGTGATGTCAATCAGAGTTGCTAAGAGTCGTGGGATCTGGGCGAAAACTGGAAAACTGGGTCGTAGTCATACTGCTAAGCCAAGAGTTATCGCCATTTCAAGTATGTAACCTATGTAGATTTAGTTTTGAATAGATAGTTTATTTTTAGTTATTTGATGAAATGTAGAGGAAAGTTAAGTTGAGTGATTGTGTTGTTTATATGCTGCGTGATCTGTTTTAATTTGATGAATGATTTGAGTTTGGAAATGAGTTTAGTAAGAGTTTAGCTAGCTTAGGTGTGTTTAGGGATGTATGATAAAATTGGAACAATATAGAGAAAGGTACTGTGTGCGTGAAGGCGTTAGGTAGCTTAGGGAAGTTAGACTTGTTGTGATGGTAAATTGTTTTAGAGGAAGGGGAAGAGTAATCATGAGTTTGCGGAGTTTGAGTCAATGAGGAAACAAAAGTCTGAAATGACACTTTTGAGTCCTGCTAGGCGGTTTTGGGGTTGTTCGGTTTTTAATTGAAAAAGAAAAAGAAATTAGACTTGTTGTGATGGTAAATTGTTTTTAGAGGAAGGGGAAGAGTAATCATGAGTTTGCGGAGTTTGAGTCAATGAGGAAACAAAAGTCTGAAATGACACTTTTGACTCCTGCTAGGCGGTTTTGGGGTTGTTCGGTTTTTAATTGAAAAAGAAAAAGAAATTAGACTTGTTGTGATGGTAAATTGTTTTTAGAGGAAGGGGAAGAGTAATCATGAGGATGTGGAGTTTGAGTCAATGAGGAAACAAAAGTCTGAAATGACACTTTTGACTCCTGCTAGGCGGTTTTGGGGTTGTTCGGTTTTTAATTGAAAAAGAAAAAGAAATTAGACTTGTTGTGATGGTAAATTGTTTTTAGAGGAAGGGGAAGAGTAATCATGAGGATGTGGAGTTTGAGTCAATGAGGAAACAAAAGTCTGAAATGACACTTTTGACTCCTGCTAGGCGGTTTTGGGGTTGTTCGGTTTTTAATTGAAAAAGAAAAAGAAATTAGACTTGTTGTGATGGTAAATTGTTTTTAGAGGAAGGGGAAGAGTAATCATGAGGATGTGGAGTTTGAGTCAATGAGGAAACAAAAGTCTGAAATGACACTTTTGACTCCTGCTAGGCGGTTTTGGGGTTGTTCGGTTTTTAATTGAAAAAGAAAAAGAAATTAGACTTGTTGTGATGGTAAATTGTTTTAGAGGAAGGGGAAGAGTAATCATGAGGTTGCGGAGTTTGAGTCAATGAGGAAACAAAAGTCTTAAATGACATTTTTGACTCCTGCTAGGCGGTTTTGGGGTTGTTCGGTTTTTAATTGAAAAAGAAAAAGAAAAAGGAATGTGCTTTGGTGTTTGAATTGCGGATTACTGAGGGAGGAACGTTGAAAGGACTGTTTAGTTCCTATGGGGACTTGTGGGGGAGAAGTAAGAACAAAAAAGAAAAAGGAGAAACCTGTGAGGTTAGGATTTCTAGCTACAAAGAGAGCAAAGTCCCCTTTTTGGCACTTGGGTAGGAGGATTTGGAAGGTAGGTTTTTTACCATGTTAGAAAAAAAAAGATGAAATAAAAATAAGGAGACCTTCTTGAGCTCATTTCTTGTGGGAAAAGCAACTATTTGGCTTTTGGTTGAAGGGTTTACCATATTAATGAAAAAGGAAAGGATCAACTATTGTTGTACTAATTTGTCTTGCCAAAAAGAATTGAGCAAAGTCTGAGTACAAAGCGCCATTTAATGGAAGTAACATATGCCATTCTGGTAAGAGTAAGCTAACTAATGATGCCAATATGAGCTTATAGTTGGTGCTAGATATCTTCATTTTTAATCATAATTCTTCTAGTATGTCCACACAGCTACACTCTCAAAGTATTTGTGAAATTAGGTATTAGGCCTAACTCACACCCCAAAAGCTAGCTCAAAGGGAGGAGAATTGCCTAAACCTTATAAGGAGTTCACCCATCTCATTAACCACCGATGTGGGACTTTTAGGTCTTAGGCCTAACTCATACCCCAAAAACCAGCTCAAAGGGAGGAGGATTGCCCAAACCTTATAAGGAGTCCACCCATTCCATTAACCACTGATGTGGGACTTTTGTCATTCTTTAACAATATTTAGTCTAGGTCCTTCTCTGCTTGAACCCTTTTGACTCGAGGGTTTATCTAAACCTCCATCCTTGCATCAACTCCATCGAGTCTTGTCAATCAGTACGGTTTCATTCACAAATTACATACACCATGACACCTTGGATGTACCACATCAAGTCATCCATCACCAAGGCCAATAGAAACGGGCTAAAAGACAATTCCTGATGCAACTCCATCATGAATGGGAAGTGCTTCGGCCTTTGAGTCTCCTCGTCTCCTCCCCATTGCCTTACCTTGGTCTTGGTTCCATCTTACATGTCCTTAGTTGCCCTAGTATAAGCCACATGTACACCTCTAGCCTCCAAGATCTCCATAGAATCTCCTTAGGACTTTGTCATAAGCATTCTCTAGATCAATGAACACAATATATAAGTCCCTCTTCCTCTCTTTATACTGCCCCACCAGTCTCCTCACAAGGTGGATTACTTCTGTAATAGATTGCCCCAGCATGAATCCGAACTAATTCTCAGAAAAGTTGGCCCCAACACCACCTTCTGAAAAACAAGAAGGATTAAGGGAAAAATGAGTCGTTAGTAAATTTATTATCAATAAATGGAAACATGCCATGGATTTTTACTATGGGCCAGAGTACTGGTTGGTAGGAACCACATTGTCCAAAAGAGGGGTGAAAACCTTACACTATGTTTGAAGGTACAGAAAGTGGAATAATCAGTGCAGTGGAATCCCAAAAAAAGGAAAAATGAAGGAAGAAAAGGCCATTGGATACCCAAATATCTTCAGGAGTTGTACGAAAGGAGAATTGTATCTCTTTCACATTCTCTCCGGCCATTCCAAACAATTTGAAAGAAATGATCACTTCCCAACTTAGGGAATTAAGTGTAAAGTTTTATTTAATTTAATTACTCTTTATGGTAAGAGGTTGTTCATGAAAGATGAGCTTATTTTGACAAACACCTTCAGAGTTCTGGAGTAACGGTCTAATTGAGTGAGAAGCTCTTCCTTTATCCAAGATTTTTGACGTAAATATTGTCAGTGAAGTCCTCTAATAATTGTGCCATTTTAACAAATAATGTTCACCTCACAAAATGGAACTGGGTTGTATGTACTTTCAGTTTTTCCTTTTCTTTTTAAATTGGCTCAGAGTTGGTCATTCTGGTTGTTCCCTCTATCATGATGCATGGTTTGTGCAGCAAAAGCAAAAGGTCAACGAACTAAAGCTTTTCTCCATGTGTTAAAATATTCCACTGGAGGAGTTCTTGAGGTAAATACTTCTGATTTATTCTCTTTACTAATTTTTTTCCTTCTGGTCAGACACTAATCTTAGAACTTATAACCAGATAATAGTGTAGTTGTCCACCCACGTGAATACGAACCTTTGACTTCATTATGGGTTATCAAAAGGACAAAAATGAAGCTATGACTTCAGTGTTACGAAAATGCTCATAATCTAACATGACAGTTTCTGTACTCAACCTTTATAATGTGCATGATGAAGCTACAATGATATATAATACTGGTCAGAAGTATTTATGTTACTGAATTGTCATAGACATAACCAATCTTATGGAAGGCAAAACTGAAGCATAACCAAGATGCTTGGTGGTAGCCAAGGTTGAACATTACTCCTGATGCTTTATTTTCAGGCAATCAGTTCCTTGTTTTTATCTTTGGACTTTGAAGTTACTACTAATTGGGGAAGGGGGTAACTCAGTCTTGTCAAGAATAGTCACCCTAATTTGTAGCAGATGATTAGCTAAATTTTCCCTTCCATCTCGTTTTACTCCTGTTCTTCCATCATTTTCTTTACTGTAAACATATATAATTAGTTACAAGAAATTTTGAGAAGTAGCTACTTGACACCCTGAGCAATTTGCTTTCTGAACATTGTTTGAGCACCTTACCTAGTGCATTCACATTTTAAAACATTCCAAAAGAACCAAATCGGATCTCCCAAAATCAACATATTAGACTAGCGAGTTCCATTTAAAGCAAATTCGGGTCGAAATGTCATGTTTTCGCTAATAATTCTGTTCTGCTCTCACATGTAGCCTGCAAAATTATACAAGCTTAAGCATCTATCGAAGGTGGAGGTTGTAACTAATGATCCAAGTGGTTGTACATTTATGCTGGTAATTCTACTGAAGTACTGTATTGTCCTTACTCCTATACTAGAGATATATGGATCTTATTCTGAAGGATTTTTTCATGAAGGGATTTGATAATCTCAGAAGTCAAAGTGTCGCTCCTCCTCAGTGGACAATGCGTAATGTTGATGATAGGTTTATTTCAATTTTTTTTGCCTATTTATCTGAATTCTTATGCCAACATGATTTTTTCCCCTTTTGTCGATGAACTTTTTCCTTGATTGTTGTAGGAACCGTGTATTGCTTTGCATTTTGAACATCTGTAAAGATGTTTTGGGTCGTCTCCCCAAGGTTGTTGGCATTGATGTGGTGGAGATGGCTCTTTGGGCAAAGGTGCATATAATAGTTCTGCAACTTGCTTTGAAATTCATAACAGCACATCTGTAGGCCGCGTCTCTGTAAAGTGTTGCTTCATTCTGTTTCTTATTCAAGATGAATTTTTCTGCCCTTGAGCTTGCATCATCATCATGATAATGCAAAAAGTCATGAGAATTAAATTGTTCACCTACATCTCCTCTTTTCTTTAGTTAAATTGTCTTTGAAAAAGGATATGGTCTATTTTTTGTGTATAGACAAACAATAATTTTATTAATGTGGAAATACTTCCAAACACAAGCTGTGTACCAAATTCCTTTCAATTAATATGGGAATACTCACACATAACAAAAAGTAGAGAACCTACACAAAACTTTGGTTCTCTACAGAAGATACCAATCATCTGTTATGAAAGGGACCTCATGGTTGCACCAAAACTAGAAAAACCTTGGAAGAGCATAACTTTTCAGAGAAAAAAGGCCCTTCGAGAAGACTTTATACACACTGCTCAGTGAACACGTGCTTTCGTTAATTCGGAATACATATTCGTTTGCGTCTAGTTGCTTTTATATATTTCTTTGGAGGGTCTATGAATATAGATTCCCCAGCTCATAGGAACTAAAATGAAATTTGGTGCTTTATGCAATTCTAATCTATATAAATCTATTTGTAGGAAAATACTCCAACATTTACCAAGCAACATACTAATCTCCAAGATGGGCCTGTCAGTGCTGCTGTGGAAGAACGTGAGATGAAAGTAACTGTTGAAAGGGAACTTGTGTCTCAAGCGGAGGAAGAAGACATGGAGGCTCTTTTAGGCACGTATGTGACCTCTTTTTCTCTCTTGTTTTGACATTTGATTATCTCATCTTTGGCTCGAAATGTAAGCTGCTTATGTCTGCATTAACAAACCATCCTTTGGCACAATTGTGAGAGCAATAGCATAATAATGGCTAAATGTCTCCTACAGTAATGATATGGTGCTTTAGGACTGTTAACAACTGTAAGAATGGCCTATTTCATGCGGACTCGGTATAAGAAGTGTTTTAGAGAGTGAAAAGCATAAAAAGAAGGTTTGTTGGAGGCTTAAGCAATAATGTAGAAGCTAAGGGTATGCCCCTTCAATTGAAGTGTGCAACTCAAAGAAAATACAAATTTCTTTGTACCCCCCTAAAAAGAAGAAAAAACTTAAAACCAAATCCAGATATTACGTAAAAATAAACTAGTACGTATAATTAGTTAATGCCAAGTTTGATCCCTAAACTGGGACTGAAGACACTGACAAGTCATTGAGAACCCGTGCTGGTTATCTGTGTTGGAGAACACCAAGCAGTAGATAGCAGCAGTGATAGACCTTACCTTTTTTTTCCATTGTTAGTTGTTCTCTAGTTCGAGGTTTACTAGTTAGTTTAATTGTAGTTGTTCTTCGTTTCCAAGTCCCTGATTTATCTGGGTAACATTTTGGTTCCTTGTCCTGATTGTGTTTTTCCAACTTCCTACAGTTATGTAATGGGAATTGGTGAAGCTGAGGCATTCTCAGAGCGGTTAAAGCGAGAGGTTCAAGCTCTGGAAGCTGCAAATGTGCATGCCATTTTGGAGAACGAGCCATTAATTGATGAGGTGACTGGTCAATATTTTTGTAAAAAGTTCCTATTATTTTGATACCTGTGTTAGAGGAGCTTTTGGTTATATTTTTTTCCATGATCTGCTGCTGATGTTGTTTTTGGAACAACCAATAGCCTTCTACTTGAATAGGCTATGCAGCTCTTGCATTGTTAAGCTTTTTTTGTGCCAATTGTAGTTAACACCAAACTTTGTCTGTCCCCTCATATTCAGCTTTTCTTCCAAATCCTCCAATTTTCTATATGCATATTCGTAGATAGAACTTCGCATAGGAGCGGGGGTTTTACCCTTGTGCGCATCCAAAGGGTAGCGGCTGCGGGTTTCCCTTTGTCATCAAAAAAAATAAATTCGTGGATATACATTATTGCCTTCTCAGATTAGGGGAGAATGTTTTTGCCTTTGAAATAATTGTCCTGCAGGTCTTGCAAGGGCTTGAAGCAGCCACCAGCTGTGTTGAAGATATGGATGAATGGTTGGGCATCTTCAACTTAAAGCTAAGACACATGAGAGAAGACATTGAATCGGTAGGAATCTCGGCATTTCACTTTTGTAGTTTATTATCTAGTATTAGCAGTAAGGAGATATGTTTTGCCTTACTCAGTCCGCTGGTTTTGTATGTGTATTTTATTATAATGTGATCTGCCTATGCCTGCTCTTTACTTGTGAATATCTTGAATGTGAAAATTAGTTTTGTGTCCTAGTCGTTGGAGCATCTATCTGATATGTAGTTTTTCTTTCCACTACAATGACCAATGGATAAACCTAGATAATATCATTTCTTTCCTGACATGAACCAAATTTGGTTATCTAGAAGTCTGATCTGTCTTTATATATGCTTCCAGGGAAAAAGGATGATAGTTCTATATTTGCATGGTTATAGTTGCTGTAAGACTGAGTTTGTTACATAACATATGCACAATTCGAATATTGAATTGCATTAGAATTTTGACAGCCTATTATTAGAATGCATTTCCTTTGCTAGTGCACTGCTAATCCTTTCTCTATGCAGATAGAGAGCCGCAACAACAAGCTGGAAATGCAGTCAGTTAACAACAAAGCATTGATTGAGGAACTTGATAAGCTTCTTGAGAGATTGCGTATACCCTCTGAGGTCTCTCTCTCTATCTGTCTGTATCTGAGCTTGTTAATGGACACTCAGAAATAAACTAATGTTTTTACTTGATCATTCTTGTTTTGTAGTATGCAGCATCTTTAACTGGCGGTTCATTTGATGAGGCAAGAATGCTTCAAAACATTGAGGCATGCGAGTGGTTAACTAATGCTTTACTTGGTCTTGAAGCTCCTAATTTGGATCCTGGCTATGCAAACATGAGAGCTGTATGTCCACTTGCTCGTTTCTTTCTTTCTGATTCTTTTAGTTATTTCTTCATCAGTGCTGTGCTTCATCATGTAGGGTAGAAAATTTTAATATAGGTGGTAGAAAATTTTAATATAGGTGATCATACATATTTGAAGCATAGCACAATTTTTTGCCTGATCAGATCTTGGATAACTGTTGTTTCTCAGTTGATTGGGGAAATAAAAAATGGTTGAATTATTGCAAATACATGGTACTTGCTGTATCATGTGATGTGACTGGCCTTGATGAGCCTTGGCTTTATAAATGGATGGGGAACTCGTCCTTTCTCTTTTATTCTACCACCTAATTCTTATTGATAAGCTTCTTGTTTGTTCTTTGGGGGCTTATGATCTATTACTTTATATGGATGATAAGTATATAAATTGTATTATTACATCTTATGTGCTTGTTTTCCAATTGAAGTGAAACCAATTAATCCTGCCTTGCAGATAAACTATTTCTCATTGGCAGTGGATGTTTCTCTAATTTGCGTGTGTAAGTGTGAACTCACTTTAACTTGTGAAAATATTTTTGAATCTCTTGTAGGTAAAGGAGAAACGAGCAGAGCTTGACAAGTTAAAAACGACGTTTGTTCGAAGAGCATCTGAGTTCTTGAGAAACTATTTTACCAGTTTGGTGGATTTTATGATAAGTGATAAGAGTTATTTTTCTCAGGTATTCTTCCGCTGGCACTTCTACTTTTTACTCAATTGTCATCTTTCTTTTGTAAATAGTTACTATAGACAGCTGATAACATGAATTAAACAGCGAGGGCAATTGAAGAGGCCCGACCATGCTGATCTGAGATACAAGTGCAGGACATATGCTCGTCTTTTGCAACATCTGAAGGTCAGACTGATACAATTTCTTGGTTAACTTTCTATTATTTATTTTAGTAGTTTCTTATGTCTTTTTTGCTATCCTTTATTTACAGAGTCTTGACAAGAATTGCTTGGGCTCCTTAAGAAAAGCTTATTGTACATCCCTTAATTTGCTTTTGCGCCGGGAGGTCAGAAAAGTTATTGATATCAATCCAATTGTCTTTTCATGTCTTTCAATAACTACTTTTATTTCCTTCTTCTTGCTGAGTAGGTTGCTTAGATTCCGTTATATGTAACCACATCGTATGTGCACTTCTAAACTATTTGAATATCTGTTTTCTTCATGTCAAACCTTCAGTCCTTTGCATCAAAGAGCTGCCTAGTTAACCTGCTTTTGGACAAGTTTAATCTACTTGTAACCTACGTTCATAGCTAGACAGTTCTTGGGATATATTGTAAAAGAGGTGCAGACTTCTCTAAAAATGAGACTGAAGTGCAGGCTGTTCACTATAAGCAATAAAAAGCTGTATATAAAATGAAGTGGCAGCAGTAGAAAACCAGATAGAAGAAAATGAGAAGATGGGAAGAGGGGAATCCAAATTCCAACTCTTTTCAAGGGATCAATACAACACTAGCCACTCAAAGACATTGATTTATAATTAGACTCAGAACTTTTAGTATACATACAAACTGGATGTGCAAGGAAAAATGAATAGGACTCTGGGAGATCAATTTTGGAGAAAAGAATTACTTCACGTACAAGTAGCTTGGAGGCCTAGTCTAGAGGACTTCGACCAAGTTTACTTGATGCAAGAAAATCTCAGCACTTGGGAATTAAAGGCAACTGGACTGCAATCCTCTTATAAAGGTCCTGAAATAAACTGAACTAGCTAAGTTCTAGAATACTTAGACCTATGAACACACTTAAAAGGATAAAGCAATTATCAGCTGCCTTCTCACTCAAAAGAGACATAGATCAAAACAGCTACCAAAGACATTATTTGGTGGACCAAACAATGTTCTTGCATGTTCTGTGGTCATAGGCTTTACAGTTGGCTAGCTGGCCCAGACACCAAAAGAATCTTCATATTGGGCAGCCAGAAGTCCAGAACTTAGAGTGTGCATTTTGCCAACAGTTTTCTTCTTTTCTGCCTGTGAGAAGAAATTAAGGGTGAAGCAGGGTTAATCATCTAAGAGTGACCTAACTAGTAAAGATTGAAAAACATATTTGCATTATCATTGATGGCTGTCTATTTTATTTTTTTTCATTTGTGTGTATCTCTGGATGCCCTTGCTACGAGTCTCATAGAAATTTCAGTTAACCTATAAGAAAAAGCTGAACCATACTCCCTGCTCTATTCAGCAAGACAATACACTCCCACTCAGACACACATTGAACTCAATGCCAAATTGCAATTTTCGATGTTCGAAAAAAAGGAGAAAAGAAGAATTACTAAATGTATAGCTTGATTGTTTCCCTCAAGTTGTTAGGGTTTACAAATAATGTTTACAGATGTTTTAGAATAGGAAAGAATCATATTTACAGGCATAATATCATCCCAATGATAAGTACTCGACTACTTGTCCACATTGATATAATGATATGCATATTAGTTTCTAACCTACAACTTCAATTGCGAGATATTCACAAGTATCTTGACAATCCTATTCAAGTTGAAAAAGACATATCGTAGGCTGCAACTCCTTGTTTGTTGCAAATATAATCAATCTTTAAACTCTAGCTGGTTTTGTAAGCATATCTGTTAACTAGTGGAGATTTTAATGAGTAAGTAGCAGATCTCTCCTTATTCTGTGAGGAGAGTAAATAGTGAATGTAAGAGGGGGATAATGAGGAGAGTAATACATCAATTGGTGGCTGATATTTATGTGTTAGTAGAGACTAGTTGATTCATAATTCCCCTTAAAAAAATCATCCTAGTTGATTCCTAAATGTTGTGTACAATCAAAACACAGTTGGAATGAGAGAAACTGAGATATGCAAGATGAAATTGCTCAAAGGAGAATGTATTGAGAATTGAATCTTGTAAGCCATCTTGGCTAATAGATGTATGTGGTTTGCATTGCTTCTTCTGTTGGTTTTTATCTGCATTGGTGTACCTCCTAATATTTTGTATGTTCTGATGTAATATTCCTATTTATTTACCATGCCTTGTGATTCTCCTTGGACCAAACTTCAGAGTTGAAAATGGAAAAAGTATAGGGATCATAATATATTCTTAGTGAAGAACAGTTCGAGTTTGAAGTAATGATTCCTTAAGTATGCCATACTTTGCAGGCTCGTGAGTTCGCAAATGAGCTTCGTGCCAGTACAAAGGCGTCAAGAAATCCAACTGTATGGCTTGAAGGTTCGGTTGGTTCGAATCAAAATATGAATAGTGCAGACACTTCAACAGTTTCGGATGCATATGCGAAAATGCTGACAATATTTATCCCTCTACTTGTGGATGAGGTGCTCCTCTACTTCTTCTCTCTCTGGAATATATTTTATATAATGGGTTAATGTTGCTCTTCATAAAACTTAATTGGTTAATGTTGCTTTCACTCCTCATATCAAGTTTTTTGTTTCTTTTTTCTAAATGCAGAGTTCTTTCTTTGCTCACTTTATGTGCTTTGAAGTTCCTGCACTCGTTCCACCAGGAGGTCTTGCTAATGGCAATAAAAGTGCTCATGATGAGGATGATGCAAACTATGATGATTTGGGTATTATGGATATTGATGAAACTGACAACAAAGCTGGTACTGCTTTGTCCTTTTTCCTTCCCTTGCCTAGCCTGATTAATGGTCAATTAAGGCTACTTTTCACATCTTGCAGGTAAAAACACTGGTGAGCTAGAGGCACTGAACGAATCACTTCATGATTTACTTGATGGAATACAAGTAATGACACATTTCATTCTTACAATATCCTTGTTATTTGATTATAATCACAATAATGTGTTAACTTGAAGTGAAAATATGGCCCTACGGGAATCAAGCTGGCTTCTGTTAGTATTAGATTGAGATGCTAAATAAAATACAGATCTTAGTTGTAGGTGTGTTTAAAGTTGGTGATTCTTCTTCTGTGAGCTATGTGATCTACATGATCAATGTTCACACCTTCATGCTTGATTGTTTATCTGGTACAATTTGTAGTGTTATCAACGAATTCCTGCTATAACTGTACTCATCCCGGTAGAGTTCAAACTTTTACTAAGACAGAAGTCGGAACCAGAACACTGGTTTTGCATTGTTCTGCAGACAGCTTCATAATATTTCATTTCTGTAATCAAAATGCCTATTAACCTCAGCTGTTATGTACAAATTGGTGGATCTTTATGATGCACCACCGTTGCTAGTTGTGTTCTGTAGAACCAACCCTTGATAAGGGATTCATTGCTTTCTGGAAATATTTTATTTTTCCTTGTCATGAGGAGCTAGTGCTGGATGTTTTCAAGCAAGTTTTACCTATCTCTATGGTTCTTATAGCTTAGTTTCTCTTTTGCGGATCAAATTTCTTTGTAGTTTCGGAGTTTTGTTGTCTCAATATTCTGTTCGAACATCTGAAAAAACTCTCTTCTTTTCACGTGTAGGAAGACTTCTATGCGGTAGTGGATTGGGCATACAAGATTGATCCTTTGCGCTGCATATCAATGCATGGAATTACAGAACGTTATATTTCAGGTCAGAAGGCTGATGCTGCAGGATTTGTGCGCATCTTGCTTGATGACTTGGAATCTAGAATTTCAATGCAGTTCAGTCGGGTGAGTTCTTGTCATAATATATGCTTTTGGAACTCATAAATGATGATGTTTACTTTCTTTTCTGTTTGTTTCAATTGCAGTTTGTTGACGAAGCATGTCATCAAATTGAAAGAAATGAGCGAAATGTTCGGCAGTTGGGAGTCTTGTCATATATACCAAGGTGGAATGAGTTTCATATGCCTTTAGTTTTGTATACTTGCCTTAACTGTTGGAACGGGTTTTCTGTCAAATATGTAGTTAAATGGTTCAACTTGTGGGATCTGAATAGTGCTTGACATACTTGGGGTCGTTTGGTAGAGTGTATAAAAGTAATGCTAAATATAGTGTATTAGCAATACTGTCATTAGTAATTTTTGCATTAGTTATACTTGCATTAGTTGTACATACATTATTTCTTATGCATTGTTTGGTTTGGTGTATTAAAATTAACATGTATTGTACAAAAATATCCTTCACATTATGGTGAAAAAGATGAAAAAGTGTTTTTGAGGGGTGTTTGTATCTTTTAAGTGCTAATGCATGCATTAAATCCCTTTGCATTACTAATACCTAGAAATCCATGGTATTAGTAATGCACTCTCCAATACACAATAGAGTGTATTAGTTATACATAGCATGAAAAAGGGTACCAAACAAGGTACTACTAATACACAGTTAGCAAGCATTATTTTTGTTAATATACTCTATCAAACGATTCCTTGGGGTGTAAAGTTATTGATTAAGCATGTAAATTTGGTGTCAGGAGGATTTGCTTAACTAGTGGCATTGCAGTTACAGCTTTTGTCTTCTTTCTTTAATCTTACCCTCCTAGTTTATGTGGTCTGATATTCTGATCAGTAGTGCATTTAGACATGCTAGAATATAGGCGCTTATATCACATTTTCTTTACTGAAGAATTGACCTTCATTAACACTGAGAATGGCATGGGTTTGTTTCTTGGGAACATTCTTTCCCCCAGTTTGAAAAAGAGAGTGATTTCTCAATTTTCATACTGTAATTGTTACTACCAAGAAAATTACTGCTTTTGCTTGAAGAAATCAATTGCTCCAACTTTTTAACTTACAGTTTGCTCAGCTGTTTTTATTTCTATTATTAACCCAATAAATTTCTTTTCAGTTAGACAGTGCCAGTTTTAAATTATTAACCCACTCATATGCTTTCACACTCGTTCCATCTCTGTATTACCTCTGTTATGATTAATTAGCTTCTTTTTTACCTTTTGCTGTGTGCTTCCTCTAACAACTTTTCAATTGAAGAAATCTGTAGCTACTGGGCATCTTATTGTAATTGTACTTCAAAATCTGATTTGCTACTTATTTTCCCTTCGGACTGCTGCAAATTGATCTTTTTGTCTTGAATAATCAGCTATTTTATTTGGTATTGTAGATTTGCCACGCTTGCAACCCGTATGGAGCAGTATATCCAAGGACAATCAAGGGATTTGGTTGACCAGGCGTACGCTAAGTTTGTGAGTGTTTTTATCTCTGACGCGTTTCTTAATAAACGAGTGTGAAGAACTATTAATATGTGAAATTACGACTGCTAAAGATTTTAAAATGGCTCAATATTGATTGGTTTTGTTTTCCTTTTTTGTTTTCTTGGTGTTAGTATAGCAGTTGATAATTCTATTATTTGCTCTTTTGATATTCTATAACTCACATCATGCAAAAGTGGATATAGAGGGAAAAAGCAAAATAAAAATTAGGAAATACCTATACAATTCTTTTCTCCTCTCTGTGTGATGATTTTAATACACTTTGTTGTCGTCAGATAATACTTTTCTCCTTATGTAATGTTGTGGCGTGGCTGTTTCTGACATTGTTTGGCAGGTCACTACAATGTTCCTTACTTTGGATAAAATTGCTAAAGCAGACCCAAAATATGAAGACATTATGCTTTTAGAAAACTATGCAGCATTCCAGAATAGGTATTGTTCTAATGTTACTTCCAGAGCTCTATAACATATTCTATTCCGTCAAATCAGTTTGAGTGCTGATGGGAAGCAGTTGTGCAGTCTTTATGACCTGGCTAATATGGTGCCAACATTAGCAAAATTCTATCATGAAGCCAGTGAATCTTATGAACAAGCTTGCACACGCCATATCAATGTGATTATATTCTATGTAAGCTTCCCTATATCTTGCTTCTTTATTTTGTAATGGTTTCTTTGTTGCTTTTATTGTTACTAGTACTTCTTAAGGTCCAAATCTTTCTGATGATATACCTTTAAAACCTGTACTTCCGACAGCAATTTGAGCGACTTTTTCAGTTTGTTCGAAGAATCGAGGATTTGATGTACACAATCCCGCCTGAAGAGGTTAGGTTATATTTTTTTTTTCATCTAAGCTTCTCCTCTGTTACAGCATTTATTGTCGGCTCTCCTCTTAAGGATATCTTAATTTTCCTTGTATGAGGACAATATTGCTTGTTAATTAGTTTCCTGCTTTGTTATTAAGTTGATGCAAATTTGAACCACTACATGACATTAAATTACTAACACTGGAATAAAGTTGTAATCTCTTTGGCAGATGGAACTTTAGGTTTGCATTACCGACATTTTAAGTTGACACTGAGCAAAAATTTGGTTCCCTTATTTGTAGCTCAGTTGTTCCCTTTCCTCTTTTTGAAGTAACAAAAAATTGTTTTGTCCCATAATTTGTACTTGCTTGAGGTTTCTGTCAACTTAAATGCAAATGTTTCTTATTTGACTGCTTCAATAGATCATCAGCTGCTAATGATCTATGTCATTTTAAATATTTTAGATTCCCTTCCAACTTGGGCTGTCAAAGATGGATCTTCGGAAGGTGGTAAAATCCAGTTTATCTGGGGTAAGTCTGTCAATGTCCTCAATTGATCTTCTATTTTTTTTAAACCTAAAAATGTCTTACATTTCTGGGTCTGATAAATATTCAAACTTTGCTTCTTTAGGCGGATAAGTCCATCAGTGCAATGTATAAGAGATTGCAGAAAAACTTGACCTCAGAGGAGTTGCTGCCTTCATTATGGGATAAATGCAAGGTATATCTAGCAAAATAGGGTATTGAAAGTAATCACTTGAAAATCTCAATAAGAAATAAATTATACGTTGCCTAGTCGGACCACGTTGTAAAACTGTTGAGACAATTCCGGGAAATTCTGTGGCCATTGCCTTGTCCAAGTTCTCTTATTAAAGAACTCAGTCCTCGCTATGTGATGAGATGGACAGTGAACTGGACAATGGATAGAATAGCGCCATTTTGAGTTGCTTTAAAATTTCTTTGTGCCTAGACTTTTGTTGGTCCCTTCGAATATTGATCTCATCTTCCCTTGGTTCATTTTTCGTATAGCAAATTTACCTACAACATTCATATTCTTGCAGAAAGAGTTCTTGGACAAGTACGAAAGTTTTGCTCAGCTTGTAGCCAAGATATACCCCAGCGAGAACGTCCCATCTGTTTCAGAAATGCGCGATCTTTTGGCAGCCATGTAAAGAAGCTTTTTGTGAGTTCGATTCTAGTTTTAGTTGTTAGGAAAAGTGTGTTGTAGAGTATGTCTTCTGTTGTCTATTTGTTTTCTGTAGAGCATTTGCCTGTATCGTCCTCGCGCCTTTTTTGTTTTCTTTTAAAGCTATTGTATGAGTTGTCTAAGTTCTTATTTTCAAGTGTAACTGTGGAGGAAGAAGTTTTTATGTTACTACATATCAATTCATCTGTTAGTTATTAAAGAAGTGTTTTCACTAGTTATGCCTTGAAATATTTTGTTGTTTTTTGAATTCCTACCTACAAATATAGGGTTATGTAGATAGGCATGTCATAGTCCATGGTTATTAACAAAGATCGTGGTGGAGTAACAAGTATATTTTGGGTTTGAGTTTTGAATATGGAATCACGAAAATGTTTTATTCTTCAATGTGAGACTTGTCTATGTGAATTCGAATTAATCGAGCTTCAAAACAGATATGCAACACTGCTTTGTTTGTTTGATTGTGATGGGGTGCTGACTACTACTCCATCCGCTATTCAGATTCGAGTCTTGGGTATTGACTATCAAGTCATTTTTTGATAGGGAGTGGTTTATTCTTCAAAGTAAGATATTTGGGTGTGAATTTAGATTAATCGGGCCTCAAAACGGATATTGAACACAAGTATATTTTATTGCGGTGGAATGTGAAGTAGTCTTTCATCCTTAATCAGATATCTCAGATTCGAGTCTTGAGTGTTAAATCATCTTTGAATGATGGAGGAGTGTTTTATTCTTCAAAGTAAGATTTTTTTATGCGAATTTAAATTAATCGAACCTCAAAATGAATATCGGCAAAAGAAACAAAGTCATAGTTCACAGATGGAAATGCAATGATTAGTGCCTCTTGTGTTTCACCTTAATAGGCAATTGTAGAATTTTCTAACTCCTCACCTGGCAGCTCATGTATGGTTTGGAGATTCGAAAAAAATATTTATTCACCCACGATATTTATTGACATGCGATATTATATATTTACTTTATTGCAATTTATATGAAAGTGTTTGATATTTGGCATGGAGTTATAAAATTAAGAAAGATTTATTATAATTATGGTCTAATATGAGTCATTAATATTTGTATTACTTTATTAAAAATATAGTGAAAAATTTTAAGTAGTGAAAAATTTAAAGTTAATTGCTACAAAATATAGAATAATATCATTCTTTTGTGAAATAATTCAGAATGTGAAAGGTACTGGTAGTGATAAAAGATGGTTCAAATTTGGTAAAATAAAAAAGTTATAATTATTTTTACCTTTTTTGAGGATTTGTAATGATGTATTCCACTTGGAAAATTTCTTGAAAAAGAAATAATTGCTTGGTTAATTAAACAATGTACTCTATGTGTCAAAAATATAGCATAGAAATTAAAATTGTAGAAGGATAATATAATAGGATAAATCTAGTGATAAAATAATATTCTTTTCATTTTATTTTATATGAGATATTTAATATAAAATTTAAAAATATATTGCAGTAGATGAGACTGTTCATTCCTTAATCAGAGGTGTCTAAGTTCAATCTCTTTTTTGTAGGAATTAGGAAGCGTTTCCTCCTAAATGGAGCCCTATGCAGCGGAAATATAAAATAACCGGGATCCAATACGCATACTATGTACATAACGAAAAACACAAAAAAAATGTAGTTATGACTTATTAACGCGGTTAAAAAATTGTCATTCTGCATATATCGAGCATCGAATAAAAAACTAAAAGAAAAAAACGCTTGTATTCATTGATAGAAGAAAAGATTCAAATGTATGTAGTTGTGAATTACGATTGCAGTTAAAAAATTATCTCACTTCATAACTCATAAGTTAAAACCCTAGCAAACCAAGAAAATTAGCTCGCTCGATTACGCCTTTTAAAATTGAAATGAACGATTCAAAAATAAACCGTTATATAAATTTCTGACTCTAGAACTATCGATATATTTATCTAATATCTTATCACCCCTTCATTTCCATTCCTATATTATTATTATAAATTTCATAATATTTAAAAATTAAAAAAAAAACATTCTTTCTTTTTCCCCTCCTTCCATATTCCCTACAAAACCTCTCATCCACTCTCTCAAAATTCATTAATTTTCTTTTCCATCTTTTCTTCTCATATTTTAAACATAAAAAAAAAATCTCTTTCTTTTTCTTTTATGGTGGAAAAAACAACTAGAATGTCAAATACAACAAACAAAATAAATCCATAATCCACCACAATTTCCAAAAAAAAAAAAAATTAAAAAAAAATCCCTTTCATCTTATAAACATGTCATCTACTACGAATAACGACGATGAATTTAACGTTCAAAAAAGTAAATTTTCGGAGTATGATCGTGTTAGTTGTGAAAATTCTCCTATGAATATGTCACCATGGAACCAAAGTTGTAATTTAAATGCTACAAATGATGATGATAACGATGATGTTACGAAAAATAATCGTAAAATTTGTTTAATTGGTTCACTTGTACGTGAAGAAGGACATATTTATTCTTTAGCTACGAAAAATGATCTTCTTTATACCGGATCTGATAGCAAAAATATACGTGTATGGAAAGATATGAAGGAATTTTCAGCTTTTAAATCAAATAGTGGACTTGTTAAAGCTATTATTATTTCAGGAGATAAAATATTTACCGGTCATCAAGATGGAAAAGTTCGTGTTTGGAAGGTACTGTTGAATTATGTGATCATCTCGTTTAAATTTCAAACATATATACTATTTCTTTTTTAAAAAAATAGTAATACTATTATTTGTTTGATTATGTTATATTTCAACATGTTTCTTGATCATGTGTTGGTTTATTTTAGAAAAAAAGGACAAATATACCCTTTAACTATCGTAAATGGTATGCAGATAACCTCCGTCATATTTTACGGACATTGATGCTCTTGCCGTCCAAAAACTAGACCATATATACCTTTTATACTAACGAACATACACATCTCATAATCTTATCCACCTATCCGACATCGGATCGATGGATGAGATTGTGCCACGTGTCTCTATTTGGACTTCCGTTAGAGTTAAGGGCATATACACTCTAGTTTTTGGATTGTAGGGATAACAATGTCCCTAAAGCATTACGAAGGATATCTGCATATCATTTGCGATTGTTCGGGAGTATATTTGTCTTTTTTACCTTTATTTTATTTTTTTATGGGAAAAAGCATGTGAAAAATTGTTTTGATAATGGATGGCGGTGAGAATTGTACCAGGACAACCTCTTGTCTTGTAATGAGTTGGAGTTCAATTGAAACCCCCTCTTCGAAAAATTATACCGTGTTAATAGAGTAGAAATAATTGAAGTTTTGTTTGTATATATAACTTTTTTTCTTAATTTATGTGTTAGTATTTGTTTGTACATAGGTCTTTATTAATCATTTGTTATTTGTATGACTATAAATGTATCTGGTTAAGAATAAAATGAGAATTCAAATTGTTTTTAAATATGAAAAGGTAATATTTCACATAAACTGAAACAGAGAAAATCTATAAAAAAATTTGAAACTTTTTGTTATAAGAAAGTCTAGACTATTTTGATCAAGGGTTGCTCGCCTTTTGTTCCTACATGCGTGAACGTGTTTAAGTTTCCCTGTATGTGGTTCTCGTCCATCCTTTCTGAGGCGCTTTTTGTGACTCGGCATGAGATAAAAAAGGCGGAACTTCCTAAATGTTTTTGCATTTTCTCAAATTCATACTTTTTATAAACTCGTATGACCAGCTCATCTAAAAGTTACGAGACTTTATATCTGAACAGGTGCAACCTAACAATCCTAGTAGTTTCAAGCCTGCTGGAACTCTACCAACATTCTTTGACATTTTCAAGGCTTCAATTAGGCCAAGCAATTACTTCATGTCAGCAAAACACAACAAAGCTTCAATTTGGATCAAACATTGGGATGCAATATCTTGTTTAAGCATGGATCATAATCATGGCCTATTGTACTCTGCATCATGGGACAGAACATTCAAAGTATGGAGAGCAGACAGTTCAAAATGTCTCGAATCAGTCAAAGCACACGAAGACGCTGTTAATTCAGTCGTAGCTAGTGCTGATGGCGTTGTCTATACCGGTTCAGCTGATGGTACTGTCAAGATATGGCAAAGAGAGTTCACACCTAAGACGATACGACATGTTTTGGTTCACACACTTTTGAATCAGGAGTGTGCTGTGACTGCGTTAGCCGTTAACAAGTCTGGTTCTGTTGTGTACTGTGGTTCATCTGATGGTGTTGTGAACTTTTGGGAAAAAGAGAAGAAGAGTTGGACACATGGTGGTGTACTAAAAGGTCATAAGTTGGCTGTGTTGTGTCTTGAATCAGCTGGTAATCTTGTGTTTAGTGGATCAGCAGATAAGAACATTTGTGTTTGGAGAAAAGAAGGTTGTGTTCATACATGTTTGTCTATGTTGACAGGACACAATGGACCTGTCAAATGTTTGGCTGTTGAACAAGATAAAGAATCAACAACAAGTGATAAAAAATGGGTACTTTATAGTGGGAGTCTTGATAAGTCTGTCAAAGTTTGGAGTGTTTCTGAAATGGCACCAATTATGCACAATGGAGAGGTTCAATAGATGTTGTAATTTGTCTATGTTGCTTGGGGTGCGTGTCGGGGTCTGCAAAAGTAGTGCGGCATTGAAAGTGAAGAGTCTGAGCAACTTAGGTATGTTTGAAAAAGTGTTTGATGTGTGTTGTGTGTTGTGTTTTTCATACACTCTTTTGGAAAGAGAGAAGATTTGTTGGGGGTTATGGAAAAATGTAAAATTGTAAGATATGTAACAATTAAATGGTGTGTAAATTTGTTGGCCATTGGTTTCTTATATTATATAAGTATATAATTTTTTTGGTATGTAATGTTCTTTTTCACATGTTGAACAAGGGGTAGTACAAGAATATTCACCTGTTGTCCATGGAGTACGCCTTTTACGCTCCGACGAATGTTTGTGTTAGTCTGTCTCGAGAGGTTTGGGTTCTGACGAACGTTAGTGTTAGTCTTTGTTTCGAAAAATATAACTAGTTTTGAGTTTGATTCAAGAAAGAATCGTTGTGGTAGTTTGACGTCTAGCATAGAAATAGTTTTACTGATGAATCGTTTAAATGAGGATTAGTACAGGAATATTCACCTAGTGTCAATTGAATACGCCTTTCAACCTGATTTTCCGCTCTGACTCACTTTCTATGAACGAACCTTGTAGAGCAACCCTATTAGGTTTTTTGAGGGATTGGTTTCTAACCAATGTTTGTAATACTCTTTGTTTTGAAAAATATAACTAGTTTTGAGTTCGATTCAAGAAAGAAGAAGAATTGTTATACAGTTTGACATCTAGTATAGAAATAGTTTTAGTGATGAATCGTCTAAATGAACGAGAACAAAGCAGAATAGATAAAGAAATTACATATATTATGAAATGAAAGGTACAAACTTGTATTATTATGCGATAGAAAGGAGGGGTTAATCGATCAACTTGAACTGGTTGATTCTAACGATCGATAACATATGCATCAACAACCATAGAGGTTGGCACTAAGGCGCGGAGCAACGAGAACATCCAATGGCGTTGCTTTAGGTATAGTCAACCCCGGGCTCTCGGTCAAGTCAATAGGTTGATCGTCAATAGGCTTAGTAAACTCAAAAGCATGAAGAATACGCGCCAATGTCAAATGAAGAACTTGTAGAGCCAAAGACGCACCAGGACAAGATCGTCTACCAGAACCAAAGGGAATGAGCTCGAAATCTTTACCTTTCACATCAACGTTACTCGTCAAGAATCTATCTGGATTGAAACAATTAGGGTTTTCCCAAATTCTTGGATCTCTTTGTATTTTCCACACATTTACTATTAATCTAGTACCAGGGGTAATTTTATAGCCACTAATTTCACAATTATCCATTGCTTCTCTTGGTCCTAATAATGGACCAGCAGGGTATAAACGTAACGTTTCTTTAATAATAGCTTGAATATAAATTAAATTATTTATGTCTGATTCATCAATTTGTCTATTTTTTCCAATATGATTATCAATTTCTTCTTGTGCTTTTCTTAATATTTTAGGATTATTTAGTAGTAATGAAATGGCCCATGTTAGTGTCCCTGCTGTTGTGTCACTCCCTCCAAGAATAAGTGCCTACACAAAAAAAAAACATGTAAATATCAGGCGCGGATTCTCGAAAACTCAGTAACTTTTGTATGAATAAAAATATCGTTGAGAACCATGCTCTTGTTCTCGTGACAGAAAGATAAAACCTACGTAAGCTTTGTTGCTCCCTTCGGTGAGCAAGGAGAGTTAAATTCGTCATATATATAAATTTTACACATCGTATCGATCTAAAGGTAACTATACATTTACAACTACGTCACACAGATATAACGATATATGTGTTAAAAAAGGGTAAAGGTCAAAATTGCCCCTTAACTATTAAAAATTAGGACTATTATACCCTTTATGTTTTGATTTTAGTCCAAAGAACTCCTAAAATTGGCAACTTGACAATAAGTAATATAGCATTACAACAACTATATACTATACTAATAGTGATTTTTTTTAAAAAAATGTTTTAAAATTTGAATTACGTAGATAAAATACTTTGAACGATACATATACCACGTTAGTCTCTTGATAAATATATCACGTATAATTAAAATTAGACTTTTTTGAACTCGAGAACATACCAGGCAAGTAGACTTGATACTTGTATCAGCATCATATGGAAAATTAGAGAGTCTACCTTCTTCTTCTAGTGATAACATAACATCGATAAAATCTTGTACCGCGGAATCAGTAGTACTCTTTGCTTCAATACTTGTACATTTTCGTTTTTCTCGATGTTCTTTTAACCATCCTTCGAGTATAAAATCAAGCTCTTTAGCTGTTTTTTTCATGGCTTTTTCATGTCCATTTATATCCAAAAAACCTAAAATTGGAAATGCATCTGATGGTACAAAAATTCCAATTAAATGAAAAAATTGATTTATTGCTTTTTGACATCTTCTAGCTTCATCATCGTTATCACACGTTGCTCCGGCGCCAAAATAACGTTTTCCGGCTACCATTCTAACGATAACGTTTAGGGTTAAGTCCTCGAACCACCTTTTGAGCTCTACCAGTATTGGTCTGCGAGTTTAAAGGTGTTAAAGTTAGGTCGTGATATAATAAAAAGTACAAAATTTGAATGTTATATCATAATGACCATCTATTTGTTAATTTTGACTTAACTAAGTTTACCTGTCAGAATTGTTATCGACCCATAATTTGTATAACGCTTGGATCCCCATATCCACTTCGGACACTTGAACATACTTGAGGGTATCAAGTCTTCGATTTGATAAAAGTTCAAACATTGCAATTTTTCTCATCTCGCGCCAAAAAGGGCTATAAGGTGCGAACCCGAAAACCGCATAACCATAGCCCATATGTTTTGCAGCCACAGTTGTGGGCCGGCTGGCTAAGGCCTTGTCATTCAAAGTAAAACATTCTTTAGCCATTTCCCAACTACTAACCACAAAGGCTCGGCGAGTGCCGAGCCTTAGATTAAATGCTGGCCCATAATTATCGGCCATGGCACCGAGCGTTCGATATAGAAGTTGATCTGTGCCGCCTAATAAGGGGAGATGGCCGATTATGGGCCAGGCACCAGCTGGCTCGGGTGCTTGTTTCGAAGTAGAGCAGTTTTTATTTTTTTTGAAAATAAAATATAAGAAAATAAGTACTCCAATGAGTGGTATATAGGAAGAGGTATCCATAATTTGGATTGAATATTTTGTGAAATGAAAGAAATTTAAGTTAATTATAAGGGAAATTTTGAATCAATTTATAGGTTTATTTTAACAACTTTATTTAGTTATATAGCATGAAGCATTCTCTTAAAACTTAATGGCATGGTGCATGTTTTAGTCTTTTAATTTTCATTGACTTAATAGAGTATTTGTTTACCATATGTCACGTTGATGACTTTGTTATTTAGAATATATATATATATATTAGGTTTAGAAACTACTTTTAAACTTCAAGTTGTTTGAGTGTGTATATATATTAGGGAATGCTTTATCATAATATGAAATTTTTCGGCATAAATTTAGAAGTAATTGGGCTCTAATATGGATATTCGACATTGATTGAGAAATGAGTTTTTAAAAAAAAAAAGTATTTGTGAGTAAGACTAGTTTTTACCTATACATTCATATACCGTAGTGTCGCTTTAAGTATAATATTTGTTTTGATTGTTATTTAAAGTTTACTATATTGTATTGTTAAACTCATTGTTATGTAACAATAATGAAAATTGTCAGTTTATATAATATCCAATTTGATGTGATCAGGTCGTAATCTTATTTACTTTACCTTATCTCGCCTTGCAAATATTATTATATAATATTTCTTTTTTACTTTTTATCCTACTTCCTATTTTATTTTATAATAATTCTACATCATATCCTATTTTAATGAAACCATAATTCCAAAAGGTATAACAATGACTGGTACAATGTATAATCTATCTAAACGTTACGTCCATCAAATAAATATACTATAATACAATATGAAATAGTAAGTAATAACCATCCAAATAAAGGCGTACGTAGTCTTTCAACTACGAATTAATTTGAATCTATAACTTCCAACATAAATACACACTCTCTCTCTCTCATATGTATATAATAATCTGTTAAATCCTAATAAATATTAGATCTACGCTCATAATATTAACGTCATAATGATATCAATGCTAAAGATCTTAAAAGTTGAATCTATTATAATTAAAAAAAAAATCTTGAATTCACTTGTATCTATACAAGCTATTAGTAACATAATAACATCACGTGGTAGCCGACAATAAGGTCAAAAGTTCAAAATAATCCACATCCGAGATCATTCTCGTAAAATACACCCGAAAAGTCGTTACCCCTACCCCCCACCCCCACCTCCACCAACCTCCCTTTTTCTTTCAAAATCTAAATTTAAAAGCCCACCAAACCAAATCAACCAAACATTGGCCCAAAAGAGAAAGTGAATGAAAAAGCCCATATTAAGCCCAAAAAAAACACCTGAAAGACAAAAACACACACAAAAAACTTTGCCTTGAGATCTCCTCTACTGATCCAAACAAGGAAGAAGAAGAAGAAGAAGATGACGGTTTTCCACTTCTTCAACTGTGCAATCCTTACATTCGGACCTCATGCTGTCTATTACTCAGCAACCCCTTTGTAAGTTTTTTGCTAAAAACTTAGTTTTTTCAATGATATTTTATCTACAATTTGGTCTTTTTTTTTGTTTTCAATTCCCATGTTTTTGATTTTGGGGTTTCATGTTAAGCAATTTAATGACCTGTATTAACTTTTGTATGGTTTTCTGGCTTCTGGGTATGCATTGTATTTAGTATTTCTTGCTTCTATGAGTTGATTTGATTTTTTTTTCAAGAATCGATTTTGATCTCCTTATATGAAATTTTGGTGTTTTTTTTCCATTCCCATGTTTTTGATTGGGTGATTTTGTTTGGGGTCTCATGTTTTGTGTTTATAGGCAATTTAATGAACTCTTGTATGATTTACTGGTGTATTGAATTTAGTATTTTTTAATTATAGGAGTTAATGTTTAAGTATAAGTCAAATTATTAGATGTTATCTTTTATAGGTTATGATTAAACATTGTTATTGGTTATGAGTTAAAATTAATTGTGAGCAGCTGTTATCGATTCTTAAGTGTTTTATCATGATATCTGAAGTTTTAAGTTTATTTTTAGTCTGATGTTTAGTGTTAATTGGCAATTTAATGATCTGTGTTGACTCTTATTTGATTTTCTGGTTACTGGGTATGCATTGAATTTTTAGTACTCCCTCTTGTTTCGATTTGTTTGTTTG